GGGAAAGCCTTTTAGACACCAAGCAAAGTTTGGAGAGGAAACTGGTTGCTGCTTCAGGAGGGTTGCTCCTTCAGACGCAAAGCCGACTAAGTGAGAGGACGGTTGGTTCGAGTGCTGAGTCGACGCGCGGTGCTGAGAGAAAAAGATTTGGGCTGACGGCGGGATAGGGGAGGTAAGAAGCTGCAGACGTGTCAGTATTGAAAGTGGTTGACTAGGATGATCTAGGATGATTTGCGCCTCGCTGATTGGCTTGACTTGCGGTATGCCCATGACACCAAGATCCTAAAGGTGACCTACATAAGATATCCTATTGGAAGCTTTCAACCAAGAGTTGCAGGGCACAAATGAAAATGAGTCGACATATGAAGCTATCCTGCTTGTGGGTGCAGTTGGGGTTGTTGATGGATTGTTTGTTTGATGCAGTATATATATATATTATATTTATTTATTTATATTTAATACATATACATAATTATACATATATATATATATTTGCATCTATCTTTATATTTATACATAGCCATAGGTTATGGGGGTTCTATCCCAACTTCACCCAGTATATTGCACTGAATTTTTCAACCCTGCCATCGGGGTGAAGCGCGCGCACCAGGGACCTGGTGGACAGCCGTTCTTCACCGTCGCAGCGGATCGTCGGGTCCGGGGACCGTCCGGGGTTCCGTCCTGGCCGATCACCTGGAGACGACGCTCACCCCGAAAAAGTCACATAGCGAACTGGAAAATATAAGGATCTTTAACAGATGAACCAACTCTAAATTGACAATTTTCCATAGCGCACTGTTAGTTTACTGGAAAGTGCATATATCTATATATGTGTATATATATATATGTTTAACTTATATAACACATATATCTATATATATAAATGTATATATAGATATAGTCCATGATAGGGATACGCTTTAGCCAACCATTATATAGTGGATGGATATGAATGGGATAGGGGCACTTTTAATGGCTCACTTTGTGACTGAATGATAAGCCGCATACCAGCTGGGGATATCTCACAAACGTGATTTATACTTTCAGAACTTCAGGTTCATTGATCACTTGCTGGGATGCAAAGCCCCAAGTAGCTATGAGAGGTATAAAGGAAACGATTGAATGATGACATGTTTGTATGAAGGTCATTCAATGGTTAAAACAAAACGGTCATGGGATGATAAATCACAACACATGGGGTCAGCCTCAATTGGCTGAAGTGAAACCCTCGTTTGCTACTACATTCGTTGTACTATTCAACGTGCGGGCATTCAAGGTTTTTTTTTCAAACCTTTTTCTTGTTCACAACTGGTGATGTTGTCAAGTAATTGACCGTAATTGACCCATGAGCTTACCATGGTATGCCAAATCCCAAACAAACGTCGCATTATACATTCCACCTAGTGCTTAGTATCACAGTCAGTCTAAAGAGTGGGACTGGGATTCGCAGAAACCTTTCTCACTCCTGTTTTCTTTCCAGTACCTCTGTTAGCCAACAGCTAACGGTAAGCTGTTGGCCTGGCGGCCTGGCGCCCAACATTCCTTTTTCTAAGGGTCAGTGGACCATTTTCGCAGACACCCCACCTACAAAAAAACATATGGCTTAAATTGAACATCTGTGATGCTTCAATGTGAAACCCCAATTTTTATAGTAAAGTTCAAATTCTAAATCTATCCCCAACTATCCCCCATTGTTTTTGCAGATTTTGCAGGACCAAATCTTCACCGGTCACTCCCGGTCAACCCCGGTCGGCCAGGCCAAGCGCGTCGCAGTGCTGATTCCGGGCACTCAGACGCCTCAGGATTGCGTGACGGATCTGAAAGCCTTGCCGGTGAAGGTGCTGGCGGATGGCAGGTGCGCTGCGATGGTGCAACGGGAGGATGATTATGGTTTTGAAAACTCATGGATTGGTCGGATTTTGATGTTTTTTGGAGTAATGTTCGGATTTATAATCATTTATTGTTCATCAATAAGTCTCAAAATGAGATTTATTTATGTGATGATTTATGTATGGTCTGTATTCCGTTTCAGAGAAGATTATGTTCCAAGCCATTTTTAGGTTTTGAAGTAACATCAGTGCTTGTACACGGACAACATGACTGCGAGCTGCCGTGAATTTACATCTTGACGCGAGGGCACCCAGGAGCTATATATAGGGGTTGGCATGGATTGAATCCCAAACCTACATGGAAAGCCCTCAGGTTGCTGATGGTTGCTGCATGTGTTTCCCTTGTGTTGGTGGTTAGTTTCTTTCATGCTGGGGTTTGTCCACCATATTCATTGATTATATACACCTTGTGCTTTTGATGGCTAAATTCGGGATGTTCCAGCCTTCTTCGTGCATAAATAGTTAAATCATGTTAAATCCTAGACTTCCACCATGGATCGAAAATGAAAACTATCTCAACTTCAGCATATATAAAGATCCACCGTTTGCAACTTCACCCACCCCAGCGACAGCGACTTCATGCCCAGTTTGATTGGCTGGGTACATCGCGGGATGATGCGGCAGGCCGAAGTTTCTGTGGGGTCCGATGCGGGCATACCCCAGAAAAGGTGCTTTGAGGAAAATATTGGACAATTCAAGATGTTTTAAACATGTTTTAACATGTTTTAACCATGTTTTAACATGTTTTAACATGTTTCAACCATGAATGTTCGGGGCTCTATTTTCAGATACTGTTGCATGTTTTTTGATGACCATGTGCTTACTTACCATGTGGAAGCGTCATGAATTGAGGACATATTTGTGTTCTGTACTCAATGTTTTTGGTGGGGCAAGGGTTTTCCAGAAGATGTTGCATGACGAACCAGCCTCATGAACACAATTTTACTTGGTAAACCCAATAATAAACATTGATAAACCTACTCGTGCCATTTTTGGACAGATTTTACGACATTGGTGATATTTGGGGATGATTTATTATTGGGTTGTTCAATTTTGCAAAACTTCTGCAAGTTTCCACAAATCTTGTGGATGCTGAGCAGGTTGCGGCCTTCTGGTCGGAACTGCACCCAAGAAGTAGTGTAATCAATGTGATGACCTGATGGAGAACTGTTAAGCCGCCCAATCATACACCATACCATTTGATGCTATGCTTATGTACACCGTCCAAGGTTTGGAATTGTGCCTGTAAGAATCCCCATTTAGAATATTTAGACATTTCCCATTTTCGACTGGGTTTCGAACACGTTTCTTTCTGTAAACAATATACCTCGAATTTGATTTATGCCCCGCCAAGGTCAGTCATAGGCAGGTTTGAGGTCAAGCCTTCCTATGGAATCCTTTCAAAACAGGGTTTTAAGTTTAAAGAAGGTTTACGGGTATATATTCATTCCATTACATCCCGGTATCTTGTGACCTATTATAGAAGTAGAAGTTCCCCAATGTTCATTCCCCATATTTATTCACAAAACCATTGCTTAAATCCCCCTGTTCATGATGGTTAAATCCCACCTTTACGTTGCGCTTTGTAAAGAACAATTTGTGACGCTGAAATCGCAGTGATCCTCATTTTTTCACCATGGATTTCACCATGGATTTCACCATGGATTTCACCATGGATTTCACCATGGATTTCACCATGGATTTCACCATGGTTTTCACCAGGTCTCCCCATGAGATCTTACAATTCCCAGGCCTCACCCAGCTAGGCCAGCGCCATTATCCGCCTGGTGGGCAGTGCCCTGGAACGCTTTGAGAAGGACGGTTACGAGGCGGGTGAAGAAAAACACTTAGATTAGATTTTGGTAGATTAATGGAATATTCCCACATATTCCCACATATACATATATTAATATGTTATATATGATTATATATATATTATATATACAGTTATATACATATATATATATACACATTACACACTTATACAGTAAATATAATATTACATAGCTTATAGATGGATTGTAAACCACGGATCCTCAGTGGAAACGCACAATGAAGTACTTTCCCCTCCATATTGTTTTGGGGGTTCAGGAAAGTTGAAATGAAGGAAAGCAATGGAGAAACTCAGGCATTTTGGAGCTGTCCTGTATAATTTTGGCTTAAACCAAGCCTGGGACCTGGAACATCTCCAAGTCCGTGCGTTTTGTGTTCGTGAAACCTCGGCTCTACCAGCAGTTTATGGCCATAAAATGATGGGAGCATGACGATCAACCATGGGAGTCCATGAGATTTGGGGATACCCCATGGACAAATTCTGAGATGTCCAGCGTCAGGTGCTATTCATTGGGCATTCCTTGGGTGCAGGCGCAGCTCAGCTGGTGAAACCATCCACAAAAGGGTCGGTTTTTGGCAGTGGCTTTCCCACAGTATCTATCCTGCAAGAAAATTGCATTTAACCGACTTAACCATGGAAAAAAAAAAATATATATTTAAGCATCACACATGGACAATTAGGATTCACCAATATCACACATGGTGACAATTGTTGTAAGTATTCGTTGGGAAGGAGGGAGTGAAGGAGCTGCTGAGAGGGTTTTTTTTGGTCCATCGTGTTCCATCGTGTTCTGGTATCGGGTATTTTTTCCAGTAGCAAACCACCCTTTTCCGAAAGGGCAATGCACATCACAATGAAACAACAAGGGGCCTTTGGACGTTGTCCACTTCCAAGACTTCCTCAGGGGAGAATTGGGGAGAATCCTTATCACAGAGCACCACCTCAACTTTCAACCTACTTTGAATTACCTTCTGGTAATTTGTTACATACCTATTGAACATGGCCCTGATCGAAATAGTTGATTTACCGAACTTAAAGATGGTGATTTTCCATAGTTTTTCTATGTTTACCAGAGGGTAAATGATCAGGTTCAACTCAACTCCACACTGGGTAGATCCCTGGCTCCGCCAGGTGTGTCGGCCATCGCCGGAGCAGTGGCGCGCTTGGGCATCGAAAAGGTGAAGCTCAAGAAGGCCAAGTTGATCAGCACCAGCAGTTCGCAGCAATGTTTGGCTTGGATTTATGGACGTTTATCACCAAAAAATGTGAAATTTTGTTGTAATAGCGTTTGTTTTCCCACAATCAATGATGGTATAAGTTGTGATCATTTGTGATCTATATACCCAACTGGCAAATATACCAAGTTGATGCGAGAAATTGAATCAACATCACATTTTTCATGGAGAGACTTAACAATTTCTTAATATATCTCAATGGGGATCAATCATTGGATTGTAGGGTGGTCTACTTTCCATACATCCCCCTCTTCTCAAGGTACAAGGTTTTGGGGATGGAGTGAAGTGTGTGGGACAAGGTTTACCAAGCCCCAGATCTTTACCTTTCCTTGGGACCCAAATTGAGCAGATGTCTCTGGAGATTTCTGGAGTCCTTCACAAGGAAAATGATCTTCGGATGTAGTTAAGGAATTAAATCACCTGAATGTTTGTGTTTGGGTAGGCTACCCCCCGCCATCAAACATGGCAGCAATTACCATGCTGGCTAATGATTACTGAGAAAACATGTACCCTCTGATAATCAAAGATTGCAGTAGGAAATCCCCTGCAAATGAAAGTTTTAATGATCACATCACCAAAAAATGTGGGATTTTTCCATCAAGCCGTGTTACTAGGAATACCCAGAGGGTATACAACTGGACCAGGGAATTTCCATTTGCCAGCCTTAAAGCTATGGAAAGGTGGCTTGAATTTGACTTCCGTGACAGGTTCGGAGCTTCTGCTATGCCACCCCTGCCATAGGCAATGGCTCGGGGCACCCAGTGGACCCAGGATCTTCCGCTTCCTGGACCATCCTGGCACGTCTAAGATCCAGTTGGAGCTATAATCAGAGTTTCCTAACCACATTATGGCATATTATAGCTATCCATCTATATATATCCGTCTATATCAATCCCGAATCCCATTATTTTTCGATGATTTTACTATATCACAATTTATCTTCACCATTTCCCATGTCCCACATACCAAGTCGATCCCTACGTTTAAGTGACCCTCCATGACCTTCCCGGCCCTTTTTCGGTCGCGTTTTACTAAGGAAGCTTTGGTAAGTACTGCGAGGGCCATGCCATCACCGTGATCAATTGCGAAGACATCGCACCTTGGACAGCAGGAGACGCATCCTGCTGGCCGTTTCCGATGGTTTCAGCTACCAGTAGGTGAATTATGATACCTTCATGTAATAAATGGATGGTAATACTAGGGACTTCAGTAATAAACCTAGGTATAGTGACGGACTGAAACTTAGAATGCCGCACCCCTTCAGGTCGCGCTGTCCTAAAGAATGCCGCCGCGGGGGCAAAATCTTAAAAAACCCTGGTAAAATGCAATTTTCGGGTTGCAGCAATTTGAGCTGGTCTTTTTGTAATGAGTCGTTCGTAGGTAAATTTTGTGAGAATTTACAGCGTAATATGAGATTGAGTGCCACACATAGAATGCCTCCGGCCAAAAAGTCCAGGTCACAGCATGTCAAACATTTGAAGCCCATATTTTCAAAATACTCGGTATACGTGGGGTTTTATGTACTTTGTGCAGCCCACATAGAATGCCGCCAAAAACATATACAAATGTCATCATTCTGTTGCAAAATCTCTGTTTTTTTTGTGAAACACATGGTTTGAAGGATTGTATAAATTTACTATTTCATATGAATAATTGTATATAAATCCAATCTCATGGGAGGTTTCCTTTCCTTTTTCCTTTCCTTTTTCCTTTCCTTTTTCCTTTCCTTTTTCCTTTCCTTTCCTTTCTCCTTTCCTTTCTCCTTTCCTTTCTCCTTTCTTTTCTCCTTTCCTTTCTCCTTGCTTTTCCCCTTTCCTTTCTCCTTTCCTTTCTCCTTTCCTTTCTCCTTTCCTTTCTCCTTTCCTTTCCCCTTTCCTTTCTCCTTTCCTTTCTCCTTTCCTTTCTCCTTTCCTTTCTCCTTTCCTTTCTCCTTTCCTTTCCTTTCCTTTTTCCTTTCCTTTCTCCTTTCCTTTCTCCTTCCTTTCTCCTTTCCTTTCTCCTTTCCTTTCTCCTTTCCTTTCTCCTTTCCTTTCTCCTTTCCTTTCTCCTTTCCTTTCTCCTTTCCTTTCTCCTTTCCTTTCTCCTTTCTTTCTCCTTTCCTTTCTCCTTTCCTTTCTCCTTTCCTTTCTCCTTTCCTTTCTCCTTTCCTTTCTCCTTTCCTTTCTCCTTTCCTTTCTCCTTTTCTTTCTCCTTTCCTTTCTCCTTTCCTTTCTCCTTTCCTTTCTCCTTTCCTTTCTCCTTTCCTTTTTCCTTTCCTTTCAACCAGACGGTTTTACACTTAGAATGCTGCCAAAAATGTTACACATAGAATGCGTCCACGGGTTTTGGGTGCATGGGTTGTATGATTTTTGCTGATTTCCACATGAACTATGCTTTCCTTGACGATTTTTGTCCCTCCCGGCTGCATTTGTAACACTTAGAATGTTTTCGGGGCATGTGTTTTATGATTTTTTCTGATTTCCACATGAATTATGCTTTCCTTGACGATTTTTGTCCCTCCTGGCTGCATTTGTAACACTTAGAATGCCACACCAATCCTTTCCTCTTTCCTTTCCTTTTTCCTTTCCTTTTTCCTTTCCTTTTTCCTTTCCTTTTTCCTTTCCTTTCTCCTTTCCTTTCTCCTTTCCTTTCTCCTTTCCCTTCCCCTTTCCTTTTTCCTTTCCTTTTTCCTTTCCTTTTTCCTTTCCTTTTTCCTTTCCTTTTTCCTTTCCTTTTTCCTTTCCTTTTTCCTTTCCTTTTCCCTTTCCTTTCTCCTTTCCTTTCTCCTTTCCTTTCTCCTTTCCTTTCTCCTTTCCTTTCCCCTTTCCTTTTTCCTTTCCTTTTTCCTTTCCTTTTTCCTTTCCTTTTTCCTTTCCCCTTTCCTTTCTCCTTTCCTTTCTCCTTTCCTTTCTCCTTTCCTTTCTCCTTTCTTTTCCCCTTTCCTTTCTCCTTTCCTTTCTCCTTTCCTTTCTCCTTTCCTTTCTCCTTTCCTTTCTCCTTTCCTTTCTCCTTTCCTTTCTCCTTTCCTTTCTCCTTTCCTTTCTCCTTTCCTTTCTCCTTTCCTTCCTCCTTTCCTTCCTCCCCTTTCTCCTTTCCTTTCTCCTTTCCTTTCTCCTTTCCTTTCTCCTGCCAAAAATGTTACACATAGAATGCGTCCAAGGGTTTTGGGGGCATGTGTTTTATGATTTTTGCTGATTTCCACATGAATTATGCTTTCCTTGACGATTTTTGTCCCTCCCGGCTGCATTTGTAACACTTAGAATGCCACACCAAACCTTTCCTCTTTCCTTTCCTCTTTCCTTTCCTTTCTCCTTTCCTTTCTCCTTTCCTTTCTCCTTTCCTTTCTCCTTTCCTTTCTCCTTTCCTTTCTCCTTTCCTTTCTCCTTTCCTTTCTCCTTTCCTTTCTCCTTTCCTTTCTCCTTTCCTTTCTCCTTTCTTTTCTCCTTTCCTTTCTCCTTTCTTTTCTCCTTTCCTTTCTCCTTTCCTTTCTCCTTTCCTTTCTCCTTTCCTTTCTCCTTTCCTTTCTCCTTTCCTTTCTCCTTTCCTTTCTCCTTTCCTTTCTCCTTTCCTTTTTCCTTTCCTTTTTCCTTTCCTTTTTCCTTTCCTTTTTCCTTTCCTTTCTCCTTTCCTTTCTCCTTTCCTTTTTCCTTTCCTTTCTCCTTCCTTTCTCCTTTCCTTTCTCCTTTCCTTTCTCCTTTCCTTTCTCCTTTCCTTTCTCCTGTCCTTTCTCCTTTCCTTTCTCCTTTCCTTTCTCCTTTCCTTTCTCCTTTCCTTTCTCCTTTCCTTTCTCCTTTCCTTTCTCCTTTCCTTTCTCCTTTCCTTTCTCCTGTCCTTTCTCCTGTCCTTTCTCCCCTTTTTCCTTTCCTTTTTCCTTTCCTTTTTCCTTTCCTTTTTCCTTTCCTTTTTCCTTTCCTTTCTCCTTTCCTTTCTCCTTTCCTTTTTCCTTTCCTTTCTCCTTCCTTTCTCCTTTCCTTTCTCCTTTCCTTTCTCCTTTCCTTTCTCCTTTCCTTTCTCCTGTCCTTTCTCCTTTCCTTTCTCCTTTCCTTTCTCCTTTCCTTTCTCCTTTCCTTTCTCCTTTCCTTTCTCCTTTCCTTTCCCCCCTTCCTCCCCTTTCTCCTTTCCTTTCTCCTTTCCTTTCTCCTTTCCTTTCTCCTTTCCTTTCTCCTTTCCTTTCTCCTTTCCTTTCTCCTTTGCTTTCTCCTTTCCTTTCTCCTTTCCTTTATCCTTTCCTTTCTCCTTTCCTTTCTCCTTTCCTTTCTCCTGAAACTCACAAATGCGATTTAGGGGACAACAACTAGCATATTCACACCAGAACAGGGGATTGCATAATAAATTTTATATACCATCAAGACTTTAAGTCTATATCTCTAATAGCAACGGACTGAAACTTAGAATGCCTTGGACCAAAAAAATATTGAAAGGGTCTCCAAATATGGCGATAATCATGCGCACTTAGAATGCCTCATAAAGTCCAGTTCGCAGGTTTGAATGTTTTAGCGATGGAGGCATTCTAAGTGAGGCCAAAAAAAAGGCATTCTAAGTGGCACCGTTAAAAAAATTGAGAAACATGGCGGCATTCTAAGTTTCAGTCCGTCACTATAATTTAGCTGGTTTCAGCTTTTAAGTGTTGGATACCCTCCAGGAATTACTTAGTAGTTTAACCATGTTGAATAGGTGAATCATATGAATGGGCCATTTTCCAAAGCTATGTTAAGAAAAACATGGAGGTTTATAGCTGGTAAAAGCGTAAAATTATTGCTGATGGATTTTTTAGCAAGCAATGCAGCTGATCACAAGATGGTATTTCATACAGTTTGGGGCACGGGTCAGAGTTGCGGTACAATACCTGGTAAATCAATGTTAATTAAGTAAGTGTTTTATACCATATATGTCCCATGGTATTCCTCGCGTTCTTCGAACATAGGAGGCCACTAACCCAGGTATTTTATCATTGTTATGGCTTTTTTTTTATGATGATATAATAGGATAAAACCAAAGCCTGTACATGATCGTACTATAGTTTTAAACTGTACATGATCGTACTATAGTTTTAAACTTATATGAAGCTGAGGTATCCTGAGGTGGGGACTGACCAACCAAGGTTATTAGTTTGTGTGATCTATGTTGGGTGCTTCGATTCCCGTGTTTGGTGTTCAAATCTTCATGTTTGGATGTAATCATGTGTGCATCCATGATGGATATGTTGGGTGCTTAAGCGCATCGTTCTGGCCGGTATCTCCATTTCTGCTTGCTTGCCCCTTAGTAATTTAGCTTGGCTCGCTGGAACATCACCATTTAGTTCGATGATTGTCCCATATCATAGGTGCTATGTTTAAAGGATTGAAGTTGTCCGGGCCATGTTGCATTGCCACAGGTCACTTCGGGTTATCACGACCAAAACATCGACATGCGACTCCAGGGATCCAGTTGCATCCCTTATAAACCCTTTAATTCATCAAGTTATAAACCAACTTAGCTCCCATAAATCAGCTACAAATCCCATGAAATCCTTATTTTTGCTTGGTTAACTCGCTATGTTCCCATGGTTTTCCCATGTTTTTTTTGGTTTAAACCATTGTCCCATGGTTTTCCTATGTTTTCCAATGGTTTTCCACCATCTTCCCTGGTTTTTCGTTCAGGCTTCGCCCTGGCCGCGAGGTCCCCCGCTTGAGTTTGGAGACAGCTCGGAAGCTGCGAGAGGAACTCTCCACACGGCGTGAGGCGATTGGGGTCGCTACATTTGATTCCTGATGGAGAATACCCCCTGGGATTTAATGGGGATTTATGGTGATTGAATGGGATTTTATAGTGATTTAATGGGTTATTAATGGGATATACACTCTGGCAAACTAACATTTACACTCTGGTAAACTGTCGCACAGCGAGCCTGAAAATCACCATTTTGAATCGGTAAATCAATTATTTCTGGGTATTTTCAATAGCTAGTTTATAGTGTTAGTTTACCTGATGGCTAGTAGAATCATTAGCGGTTAGCCATCATTTAATAGTGGTTCAATTTGGTGAATATTATTTATGGTTTGGAACACATATATTAGGAATGTCATCATCCCAACTGACTTTCATATTGTTCAGAGGGGTAGGTATACCACCAGCCAGTAATGTTAGTTTACCACTAACAGTGGTTAATAATGATGGCTAGTAGTGGTTAATGCTGGTTTATTAGGTTAATAGTTAACTATACATCAAACTAAATAGTGTTTAGTGGTTAATAATGATGGTTAGTAGTTGTTAAGTTAATAATGATTACCAGAGGTAATAGTGGTCAATAATGGTTAATAGTGGTTAATGGTTGATAATGATGATTAGTAGTGGCTAATAATGATGTTATATCTCCATTTTGGTGGATTAGCCCTCTGGTAAATGTTTGTTCAGTTTTGCGAACTGAACAATCACCATTTGGTATATATCAAGTGTTAATGACCCATTTTCAATAGCTATAGTATAGTTCAATTACCAGAGGGTAGTGCTGATCTTTATTTTGCGATTTGAGAAATATCTAACCAGCTAAGACTTGAATTTTTGGTATTCGGTAAAATTGGCAATGTAAAGGGGTCCTGAAATAAATCATTGAAAACCACACGCTTGCTCTACTGAAGTTGGATGTGAACAGTGATTAATTGATGTGTGTGTAGTTTGTGCTGGTTCCGGCTTATGATAAACTATAATTATTAAAATGGATACGGGATACATATGAATCAACCAGTATATATAATATGATGTGATAGGGATTTTCTAATGGTGAACATTGAAACTCAATGGTCGAAAAATGAAAGGAATTGTTAGCAAGGGTTGGCTTTAGGACTTAGGACGGACCCTTTGAGATGTGCAACAAAAATGATTGTTTGTTTGGTACTTGTTGGTAAGCACCCAACATGAAAGGTGACCATCAAGAAATCATGGTTTGATTTGTTCCGTGTACCTGAGATGCTTATTCATGATATGCAATTGGATCATGCATTTTTTTGAAACATGTTTCCAGTCAATCAAACTTGACTATACCAACTGTGTTTTTCATGAGTAAGAGTTGGGTACCCTACACACAAACATAAACTATATAACCAAGTTCTGCCAATCCTAAGGCCATCTTTGACCAACCCCATAATGTCCGAGATCGGCAACTGGCTGTTTCACTGCCCCGCAGGCTGTCAGGTTGTTCGTTTCCGAGGACGGCGAGCCACCTGTTTTGGTGTGTCCATCCCCAGTTGGATCCAGTGTTGGTTCATGGCTTAGAGGCTTAGACTGTCAACCCGGCTTAGTACTTAATTAATTGGCATTATGTTATGATGATAGAAATTATCAAAAACTAAGTTATAATGACTCAGTTAATTGGCATTATGTTATAGTACTATTATAATCATCAAAAAATGACGATAGAAATCACTGACAAACCAGTAGAGTCGGGGCATGGCCCAGCCAACAGGACATTGCAGCCTTGAAAGATGTGAACAACATCACGGAGAAAAAGACGTGGGGACGCTCATCATAGACTCATGATGCAAGAATGGCTCAGCCGAAACATGTGGTCGTGTGGAAACTGGAAACTCCCGAGTTTGGATTGGTTTCGATAGGTTTGGAAGATTATCTTGTTGCGTTCAGATGTCGCAAAACTTTCAGTTTCCATGTGAAATTTCCACATGTAAGGTACAGTACTTGTCTTGCGAAAGAAAAGTGAATCTTTCAAGTTACCATTGGTCAGTTCTACTCCGTATCCATGGCCGACCTCAACATATAGTCGACTATATGGCTATTTGATGCTATTTGGACTTTCGCCAGGAACTTGTCACAATCTTCCCAGATTTTCCAGGCGCAGCAAAAGCGCCAGTTTGAAAGCCATGGAGGTGAAACAAGGTGAGGAAGCTGCAGAGGAGCGAAGTCACCAGGATGGATCAGGATTCAATATCTGTATTCATAGGTGGTTTAAGATGGTTAAATACGGGCTAAGATTTTACACACACACACAGATATATATATATATATATAGATACACAACTATACACAATATAATTATGTATATATACTAGCAGTATATAGATCTTAATTGAGATGATTTAAACCCATGGTTCACCAAGATTTCTCAAGTCTCAAAAAACATCTCCCGCACGGCGAGGTGACCTAGGTGACCTCACCATTATGTTACTGGAGAGCATTGCTAGAAATTTGATTAAATTTGAATATGCATACTGCATATATATATATATAGTATATAGTATATATAGTATATATAAGTGTGTACTAATGTAAATGCACATGAATATTTATAATTAAATTTGAATATGCAAATGAATATTTATATATATTACTATCATATATGTGCGTGTGTACTAATGTACTGATCCTATTTATCTTGTTTGATAGTGATGTCCTCGATGAAATCATCCCAACAATGCTGTTCCCCAAATGCAGCTGATTTTTCTCCTTGCTGAATGCCTATTTTGGTTGGATCGAGCCACAAGGCTGTGCCTCAATCCACGTGTTTGTTCTGAATCATATCCTCATTTGATGTTGTTCAAATCTATATACATATTCTCCTCAGCACATCGTTTTTCCCAAACAAACTCAAGTTCTTCAACACCTAAGTCTCTGTCAATGGCAATTTCAGGTAAATTGGAGCTACCTAAGGGTTATAAGACCTGTGTAAGACGCTATTCCAATTGTTTCTGACCGTGCAGCATCATCGCAGGAGCTGGCAAATTTGGGGATTCCGGCACCCCTTCCTGGAACCTCTGCGAAGGCGTGGAGAGTTGGGGTTGAAGATTCGGATTCAAAAAAACCATCGAAACTTGGGGAAAATGAAGCCATCAGACCTTGAGGTTCAACCCCTGGATGAAAAGTGAGTTGTCCGAAGATGTGGAGTATGCCAAAACGACATATGGTCGTTGTCGGCAAAATGATTTCTTAATTTGGGCGTGCAAAGTTCACACTGAGCCCTGACAGTAAACAGTTGGGACCTCCCCAGAAGCAGTCAATAGTGGTGATTTCCCGTTGAGTAAATGTCACCCCTTTCTACAGTATTGGTTGAATCCCAGTTTTCTATAGTTTTCTCTCAATGCTATTGACGAAATTATTTTGAACCCCTATTATTTTATGATTTCAAATGGTTGAATAGCGATTCAGTTGTTGTTGCCATTTCCTCTGTTTGCCATGGTCAAATTCAGCCCACATACATCTAGTTCTCCCTCCTTCGCCCCAGGTTGCTGCAGAGGTGCGAATGTTCTTCGCAAATGTTCACCTGGTGAAAGATGTGATGTTCTTTGTTGATGGCAACCAAAATCAGGAGCGTGGAAGGGTTTATCTCATATATTCTAATAGGGTGGGGTTTAATCATCATGTTAATCTTGACTTGACATGATTAGTCCCGATATGTCCGAGTGTGATCCTTGACTCTTAGGCACTTTGGAAATTCCACTGCGCCAAGTTTTGATCTCTTGAGATTGCTGGCCTCTCGAAGTATTTCAACATTTTTTGGGCCAGGTTTAAAATTAATCCGTTTGGATTTGCATATGTTTTGTTGAAATGTATTTTCCCATTGGTGAATTCATCAGGGAATCTATAGGGGATATGTTTCTACGGGACCTATAGGGCATCCCACGACTAAGAATCATTTTGTAATATGGCTTTGCCTGAAAATATGCTCCCCCCCCCATATACCCTCTGGTTATTTAACAGTTTGCTATTGAAAATGGCCCTAGTCGAAATAGATGGTTTACCGAACTTAAAAATGGTGGATTTTTCCATGGCGAACTGTGAGTCATAACCAGATGGTACCATGTTGTTCATTTTCCCATTGTGTTTTTCATCATTTACCTGGCCAGGTGGCTAAAAAGGCTGGGTGACATGCGGAAAACCTGGGGATTTCAATGGGATTTTGGGATTCTTAAATTTAAATTCGATGTGATTTTATAGGGATTTTTTTAAAATAAGATTTATATAATATGTCATATGTCATATATATAATTATTGATAGGATATAGTATATACAGTATGGGCTATTGTATTTTGTTGGGATTTGAATGGAATCAGAGAAAACACTGAGATTTAGAGAAACGTGTCATCAATCATGGCTAGCTGGGAAATCCCCAAGCTAGCCGTGGAGGCGTATAGCTGGAACAGATTTTCCGGCACGCCACGTTTGATCACTGGAGGGAAACCGCCAAAAAACAAGACAAGTACTGATTAATAATTCATCACTGTTTTTCGCGGGATTTGACTCTTTCTGTTCTTTTGATTTTGAGGATGCTATAGCATAGTATAGCAGTATAGCAGTGTAGCGTGCATGGATGGTATTTGATGGTATTGGGGTTGAAGATCACTACATGATATAGAATCTTCAGAGTGTGGAGAACGGAATACCGTGGCACATTGGATTTGCAGTAAAACTAACAGCAGGGGAAACAAAACACAGTACAATATCAACATGTTCAGAGAACAGAGCATGAAATCATATGAAATCATGAATTCTTTTTGATTGGATAGGATAGTTGTTGTTTTTTTTCTGGTTTGGATGGGTATGGATAGGTATGGTTTTCCAGAGCACCAGAGCAGTGATTTTTTGTCGCCAGTTGTCCCAGTTCAGAGGAGAAAACACGACTGAACCCTAGGACCGTAGCCTAACGAATCATGGTTAGTTTGGGGAATCATCCAACCATTAGTGAACTATGACTTATCTACTCAGATTAGTGAACTATGACTTATTTTTGGTTAGTGAACTATAATAGTGGAAACATGATAAATCATGCTTACTTCAGGTTGGTGAACTATTATAATCTATTCAGATGTATCTATGAATCTTTAAAAAATTGCGAGATTAATTGGTGCAGTAACATAGCACGAACTTGTGATTCTTGGTTTTGTGTAGGACTGGGCAGCTGTTTTTTTTCAAGTTTTTTCCAGCCTCCAGCACAAAAGCACGCTATTGCGTGACAGGAAAAGAAGTCGAAACCTGGCTTTTTATGCTGCACAACAGCCCAGGAGGACTGGATGCAGCCAGGTGTATGCACTTGGGGTATGAGTTTTCAAATGTTTTCAGATCTCCCAGGTATTTTAAAACATTTGGATGATGTTTATGACAGCAAAAACCTGAAAAAGTCTGGATGTCACGTGCCGAAGTTTCTGAAATCCAACCTTGCACCACCAAGGGAACGAATCCAACAACAGCACCTTCTATGTCAACCTTGTAACACACGCTTGTGATACATAACTATTGGGTGAACCGCTTGTGATACACAACTATTGGGTGAGCATGCCATCGTCGTTTGCAATCCCGGCTCAAAGCGCATGACATGGTCATGGTGTTTGTATGTCTTTGTGGTATATGAAAAACTTGGATTCATAGTGAGCAAGATACCAGAAACATCAACAATTCAACAAACCATAACAACAGTCACTTCACCACTGAGAACGGCACCCCGCAGTTTCATCATGTTTCATCCATCCACGGTCCGCCAAGGTTGAGCGCAGCAAACCTGTTCGGCCTGACCAAAGATTCCAACCACTAGTCACCAGCTTTAAAGCTAATAATACACAATCTCACACCAACCCCCCCAAGAAAAACATGGTTTGTTCAAGTTTGTTCAACATATTCAAAACATTATAAATAACCCGTTCGAAGGCCACTGGTACCGCCATGGTGGCCGTGGCCTCTCCCGCTACTTCCGCAGCCTCCGAATTTACCTCGCCGGCCTCGAAGTACGACGCCTGGCCATGACCTGGCGGCGAGGTGTGACCGCCCTGGGAAACATGTGATTTTAACATATTAGTTTAAGTATGAACAAGGGATTTGAGATGATTTAACTATCAACAGTGGGAATTATATCAACAATTGGATGTTTACAATGACAAATTGTGATGGTGGATTCAATCATCAAAGCTAGGGATAATTTCAACAATGGGCATATTTTTGCGGACTAACCATTAGCAATATAGATATTTCATGGGGATAGTCATGAACAATTGATGATTGACAGGGATTTCAATATTACAAAGTAGGATTTTGAGATTTAAGTAAAGTTATGCAGTGACAAATGGGTCAAACCAGTTGAAACACTTACTAACCGACCGGGCCTAAGCAGATAGGATCTGTCGGCTGATCATCCAAATACCAACAGTTGGTGAGGTGTTTGTGGATTTTGGATGATTTTGGTGATAAATTTATAGGGAAGAGTTAGTGTGTGTGTGTTTTGTAATCTTTAGGCCATGTTCAGAACTTCCTATAAGCATCAAAATGGGTAATTATAACATATCCTCTGCGCCTGGTTTTATTTCTTTAAATATGTTTAATGACCACGGTGCATCACTAATTCTTATTGAAGATCACATGGGGTTAAGCACTCCTTAAGTTGTTCATGCATCCTGTGTCTGCAAATATGCGCGAGGCCATCCATCGTGAAGTAATATGCGCCAGTCGGGAAGATGATAGTGATTATAATCAACATATGTTGTTTTTTTCTCAACGAGATGTTGATATTGCTGGTTTTACTTCTGCGTGTATACAATTTTTATACGGTAATATTTAAAATGGCAGAATGATATGTGCCAGGGATAGTGACTAAGATTCAAACAATACTTGTTATTCTAGTGAGTTGTGAGAATTTGTGATGGGAATATATATTCGGGTAGATTCTCAGATGGTGTTTGCATCTTGGGATGCAAACATCACAAACTGGAATATTAGGGACCCTAAGGATGGGAGCACTAGGGATTTCACCAATCAAGATTAGTTTGTTTTTTTAAATCATTCAACCATCAAGAAGCGTTTTTTTTTTACATATTTCCCACAGGTTTAACCACAAGATGTGGAAACATCAGGGATTTATAACCATCATAGATTGCATTATTGACGATTATTGATGGCTGGGGTTGCCCTCCAAATATTTGAAATCCACCATGATATATTTGGACGAATGGCATAATGGGATAAATCATAAACATACCGGAATATCCAGAGATCAGTTTGCGACTGTGGTGAATAAATCCAAATATCTCTGGGGGCTGGCTGTATTTGTCACCAACCTCAAGCAGCCACAACGAATGATGTTTCCCGGTCAACGATGGCATGACCCTCCAGTACACTAACATGGATATGCCAAATCCACCATGAATGTAGATCCTGTCCTAGGAAAACCTATGGATTTCCATTGCTATGCAAACGTTGGAGGGGTCAGGTGTCATGAGTTTCACCCTCTGGAGAAAGCGAAACTCAAGATTTGAATCTGTGACTCTTTACGGCTTTTTAAAAGGGGAAAAGATGATGTTTTCCATGGGGGTCTGGTATCCTATTTTCAGACACATCCATTTTCAAATGTCCAGTAGGTACATGTAAGTAATTTGGTACACCCAAAAATCAACCATCGCATGGCCATGTTCTGGTCATATGATGTCATCGCTCTACATCGTCCCGTGACTGGGCATACCGAAAACATGGTGACTACGGCATTGGGTTTTTCAAACAGTTTCTATAAAGGCCATGGTAATTTCAGGCTCCTTGACAGTTTTGACAGCGAAATTGATCCCAGCTGAGATTTGGATCATTCAAATCCACAGATTTCCTCACGTCTCCTAAGGAAAGGCTAGAATCCAACATAGGTGAAGGGACCTATGGAAAGGCCCGGGCAAACTGGTTTGTGTAATGTAAAAGTTCTGCTGGCATCATAAAACTTACTGAAACTCCTCCTGGGATGTGCTGAAGGTGATATCATAAATCCACAACTTGGGTAAGTTATTTGGTGATTTCTCTTTATTCTTTGTTTCTTTAAACTATACTCTCCGTATACCCTGTGTGTCCAGAGCCTATCTGGGATAGATCTTTTGCAACGGACCTAAATGGGAATCTACTGGGAGTGCAGCTGGGGGTGTAAGATGTGCATACAAAACTCATCGGGCCATTGTGAAGCAATTCTACTTATGCAATGAAAATCAACGAGAAAAAATCATCAAATGGTGCCCCACTGTCTCGTGGAGAAATTGTGGAAAGGCCTATTGAAGCCGTGGGAAGACCTATTCCAACATGGCAATGGAAATTCCACCATTGAAAAGTCCCATGATGTCCCCATAAAAAAAGGATTTCTATTGGGCCTATAAAAACAGGGAATGTCCCATGGGATTCCATGTTTACTGGAGGGTCGGCCCCAAAGAAGCTAAGAAACCTCCAGATTTTGATGGTGATTTAGCACCATTCCCAACAACATGACCATAAATTGAGGATACCTGATACCTCCATTATTTTCAGACACCAGATGGTAGTTGATGTAGTTGGGTTTACCAACACAAGTTTTCTGTTGCACCTCACAAGTCAGTGGCCCAGATGTGGCGAGCCGGTGATATTTTCACGGCGTTTGTCTTGGATCATGGTGACAGATGTTTCCCCAGAGGAACTGGAAATAAGATCCACATGCACAGCTGGGAGGTTTCAATGGGCCAAAATCATGGGATTCAATACTAAAATGGTCTACGTCTACTTAGTGATTTTGGGGTAGGAAGACATGTTTTGGGACCAATGAATCACCATTTTTAACAGGTAAACCTCTATAAATGGGCCATTTCCCATGGCTATGTTAAATAGCCAGATGGTAATTACCCATGTTCTTTTGATATGGGGGATGACTCATGAGAAACCACGATGGATCGATATGCCTTTGGGGGAAACCTTCCAGGTGCACAAAGCCTTTCACGTCCGAAGCGGAGAAATTGTGGCCATCAAAAAGGCCAAAGAGACCGTCGCGGATCGTGACGTTGGAGGCACGGTAACCTGGAGGTCAACCCCTTTTTTTGGGCCTGGTAGGGGGGCCAAACCCATGCATTGTTATTGGGGGCAACCTTCAAACATATTACGGTTGGTACCCCTTGTATTCGTTTCCTGTTTAAACAAAAATCCTGGGTTAACATTCTAAAGTCATAAAAAGTCTGTAATAGGAGATGGTTGTTGGTGATGTGCCTAGCGCTGGCACTGAATCTGACTGCGACTGGGGCGATATAGATTGATAAAATATGATAAAATCATGTTTGAAACAGACCGTGCCCTGTGATACAAGTTGGTGCCCCCTGGTTACAAGTTGCTGTATAAACCAACCTAAAGATAGTATATTAAAAAACAAAATATTACATTATAATTCTATTAGATATAATCCATTTGTCTAAACCAACTTAACCATCTTTGGATGCACAAATCTGTAATCCATTGCTCTCTATCCGCGCGCAGGGATTGGCTTCACAGCCCTGAGGGAGGTGAAAGTCATGCAAGCGATCCAACATCCCAACGTGATGCTTGGGCTGTCAATCTCTGCATTTTGGGGGTCCCACTTGGGGTGCAGTTGAGGTTCCCTTTACTTTATGGGTACCCTCTGGTAATTTAACATAGCTATTGAAAATCACCATTTTTAATGGGTAAATCCACTATTAATGGTCATTTTCAATAGCTACGTTAAATTACCAGAGGGTATATTGTAGTTATGGTAATAACCTGCATAAGTTGGGATATGGGGCCCCTGTAACTACGGTGATATAGCAGCTATAGCACTTCCAAGCATAGAGTCACTGGCCATTTCAGGTATCAAAATCGGATGCACCTATCATATGGAAGGTTTATAGGGATCGTCTGAAGCTACCGTTCATGCCATGGTCAGGGCGAACATTGGTTGTTTTGCCATAAGATGGGATGGTCATCAATCCAGAAATAGGAATATTTATACCGATCCTAAGGATTCACACTATGGGATGGATGTTCTTAATTAAACCATATATATATATATATACATATAATGTTCTGATCATGGCACATATGATTTTTGTTTGATGTGTACTCCAGAATCTGACGCTATTTTATCATTGTTCTCACTATTTCATGGCCATGGGAGCCCTTGAAATCCTGATTGACCTCCACTATCAATGTGGTAAACCCAATGGTAAACCTCCAATGGTAAGGACGCGTTATAGAGTCCATGTTTGCTGAGACCGGGATGGTGATGGGTTGACCACATTACTGTGTTTAATTGTTTGGTTTACATGCACATGTTTGTAGTTGTTCCTATCTTTCTTCCCTATCAGGAATTATTTTCTAGTTTCCTCACGGGGTTTCGTACATGTTATCGAACTCTGCAGAAACCGGCCAGATTTCCCAGCTCATTCTTGTTCACCCAGATTCTTTGTTTGTTTTTCCATATGATGTTTGCCTCACGGGGTCCTAATTGAATTCCGTGGTTCGATTTCAATCAGGCGCCTGGAAAAGGCAAAGATGATACCGTTAAACTTAATCATCCCATATATACATAATTATCCTGAAGTAGATAGAATATGGTAGTTTTTAAAATTAATCTCATTTTAGTGATGATGATTGAAAATTGAAAATGTAATATTCATTTATCTACTTTAGGATGACTGTATTATACCATCGGTACATTCATCATTTCATCATTTCTGAATCGGTTATTCCACGGCCCAATATCCATTCAACAATCTCAGGATGACCTGCTTAGACGTCTTCGTGGAAGGGCAGGCAGTGCATCTAGTGATGCCGTACATGGATACGGATCTCAAGAAGATCATTGAGGCTCGACTGGGGATGTGGAGAAGATATTTGGGAATCATGTGCACATGGGGGATATACCCAGTAAATTTACATAACTCCTGACAGATAGCTTAATTTACATCATTAAATCCCTTTAAAGTCCCATTAATCCCATGAAATGTTGGTTTAAATCAGCATGAAATTCCTATACATTCCCATTAATATCCCATATTAAGTCCCATTAACCCTCCATTAGATCACCATTAAATCACCATGACAACACACATTATATAGCCACCTTAGTTAGTAGATGGTTTATCCATTGAAAATCCCATCTTTTACGGTGTTTGATAGGCATCCCAATTTCAATAGTTACCAGCTATCATTATCCCAACAAACCCACATTAAATCCCATTAATTGATAGATCATCAACTGTTACCCCGTTATCCTTCTCGTTATCCCGTTATCTCGCAAACGATTTCAAGTGTATTTGAATACATACGAGTCCATCTCCAATTTTATGAATACACTTGAACCCCATTAGATCATCATACACTTGAAACCTAAAATGGAGGCACATTAGTACCATATTTTTGGCCATATTTTCTGAGGATATTCCCTGAAAAATAGGCATCAAAAATAGGCCAAACATATATGGAATCGGTACCTCCAATAGTCTCCAATGAATCGGTTCCTGAAAGCCACATTTTTGGCCATCGCCATGTCGCCATCGCACCAGGACACGTCCATAGACCTCACAGAGGTGCACTGCAAGTGCTTGGCGCAGCAAGTGCTTCAGGGCCTTGGAGCGTCCCTGGGCGTGGATGGCGTGGTGCTCGGCCTTTAATGGGGAGAAAAATGGAGGTTTAATGGGGATTTAATTGGATTTCATGTTGACTAAATGGTGATTTAAGTGGATTAAATATGGTTTAATTCATGGGATTGATTTTATAGGGGTTTCATGTTCGGCTGTGGTCTAGGCCGGCCGTGGGACTTATATAGCCGCCATAAGAGACTGGATTTTACCTTCAAAATTGATGATTTGCACAATTATATACTCAGTTTCTGTTTGAAGCTTTTATGGGTTTTGAATGGCTTTGGAAACCGTGTGAATGTGCGGGTTTGTACCAACATTTTTTAGGCATGTGCCGGGTAAAGCTTGTTCCTGGCGATAAACATCCAGTTTTTTTTAGGGGATCTCCAATTGCCACGTTTGATGCCCGGACGATGCATGTGGTCCTGCAGGGGTTGATTGCGTTGCGATGACTGGATACGTTTGCCAGTCACTGGCATATTATTTTGGTTAGAGTCTGCGTGGCTCAACCATCAGCCAAAAGGGAATTTGTTAAAAACAAGCAGGTATTGACGGTATTGATACATATACTTTGCACATATTTATTGTTTCTTGTATACATTTAACATATACACACACATATTATATATATACATACACACAGACACACACACACATATATTACATATATACATAATTATATATATATATATATACATATATGTGTGTAATAGATGTACTGAAATTTGCTGTTTTAAAATATTTGTGTATATATACATTTATACATACATATTACAGGTACATATATATTATCATATACAGTATATATATTTATTTATTCATTTTATATATATATATTTATTTATTCCACATTTGTAACATGCACATCTTGTTGTATCACTTGCATCACTGTATCATTTTTTGATCATATCATTTACTACTGTATCCGGATGATGCCTTACATGTTCCTATGCGGCAGGTTACACGAACGTTTCTTCGTGCATAGAGATGCTTGGTGGGTGGACACCGCTGACCGAACATTTTTTTGATGAACTGTTTCAACTTATTACCTGCTTAGGTGTTTTTTTTACATACCATGTCAAATACTGAATCAACCCACCCCAAGTTTGATTCTTTTGGTGTTGATCATTCTGACGCAGTTGGACAATTGTGCAATTGTGATCCGGCTGAAATTCCAACTGATGGTTTGCAGCGGATTCAAGACACTCTGCAAAATGAGTCCACTCAACTCTCGGTGGTTTCAGATACGATGTTCATGGGATGATGATGCCCACTGGACCGCGTCATATTTTATACAGGGCTTGTTGAAACAACAACAACAACAACAGGACAACAACGACAACGACAACAACAACAACAGCAACAACATCAGCAACAACAGCAGCAACAACAACAACAACAGCTGCAGCTGCAGCTGCAGCAGCAATAGAAGCAGCAATAGAAGCAGCAATAGAAGCAGCAATAGAAGCAGCAATAGAAGCAGCAATAGAAGCAGCAATAGAAACAGCAATAGAAGCAGCAATAGAAGCAGCAATAGAAGCAGCAATAGAAGCAGCAATAGAAGCAGCAACAGCAACAGCAGCAACAGCAGCAGCAGCAGCAATAGAAGCAGCAACAGCAGCAGCAGCAACAGCAACAGCAACAGCAGCAGCAGCAACAGCAGCAACAGCAACAACAACAACAGCAACAACAACAACAGCAACAGCAACAGAAGCAGCAGCAGCAACAGCAACAGCAACAGCAACGACAACAACAACACCAGCAACAGCAACAGCAGCAGCAGCAACAGCAACAACACGACAAGCAACAACAACAGCAACAGCAACAGCAACAGCAGCAACAGCAACAACAACAACGACGACAACAACAACAGCAGCAGCAGCAGCAACAGCAACAACAGCAGCAGCAGCAGTAGCAGCGACAACGACAAGGACAACGACAACAATAACAACAACAACAACAACAACAACAACGACAACAACAACAACAACAGCAGCAACAGCAACACCAACAGCAACACCAACAGCAACAGCAACAACAGCAACAACAACAACGACAACGACAACGACAACGACAACAACAGCAACAGCAACAGCAACAGAAGCAGCAGCAGCAACAGCAACAGCAACAGCAACAGCAACGACAACAACAACACCAGCAGCAACAACAACAACAACAACACCAGCAGCAGCAGCAACAGCAACAGCAGCAGCAGCAGCAGCAGTTGCAGCAGCAGCAGCAGCAGCAGCAGCAACAGCAGCAGCAGCAACAGCAGCAGCACAACAACAACACCAGTAGCAGCAGCAGCAGCAGCAGCAACAACAGCAACAAGAACAACAACAACAACAACAACAACGACAACGACAGCGACAACGACAACGACAACCACAACAACAACAACAGCAGCAACAGCAACAGAAGCAGCAGCAGCAACAGCAGCAGCAGCAACAGCAGCAACAACAACAACACCACCACCAGCAGCAGCAGCAGAAGCAGCAGGAGCCAGGCACACGGTCATGGGTCAATAGTGGGACTATTCGAATGGGTTCATAAAATCACATCCACTTTCCAAGCATTTTGCTGCCAGGAAACTGGTGGGTTTTGACCCTAGGGGATCAATGCTGAACACCATCTGCACAAATTATAGCGAGGACAAACGAGGCAATGAGGTGGGTAAGTCAGATTTAACATGATTTAACGAGGTAAAACTTAATTTTGTTCTGTGAATTTCCAACTCGACGTGGTAGCCTTGTATTGGTTTGTTGCATGTTTGGACTGGGTTAGAAAAACTTGTGGGGAGCCACAAAGTTTGATTTTCCGTCACTAGAGGTCCAACTCCACAAAAGAAAGGAAAGACACTTTTGCGGTGTAGGAAAGTTTTTTGAATGCATTGTGCCCGAGCTTGCTTGCTTTCATCACTATGAGCATGAAAGAGCTGCAAAGAAAACTATTAAAAACAAATCATTGTACGATAAGTTTTTTTGGGGTCAAGCTGTCGAACTTGCTCTTGTTTTAGTCACCATTACGCTCAAAGTGCTGGTGACCAGTCCTACCCTTGAGGCAAGCCCGATCCCCAAACTAAACTTCTCAGTGGCGAAAGAGTTTTTTTGTTCGCTTGGCTTGGGCTACCCCACAACCTTAAACTTTAAACCCCTACTCAGAAATGACGAGGGGAAGTCTTCTGTATTGAACATGGGAACTAGCGAGGCGTCCCGTTGTCACACGAGGCAACCCCAAAATAAACTTTTCAGAGGGGAATTTTTTTTTCTGTCGCTTGGTTTGGGCCCCACCACAACCTGAAACCATCAGTCCTTATTGAGAAATAACGAGGACAAGCCTTATTTCCATCACCATCATGCGAATTAGCGATGCGAGGCGTTAAAACTGGGGAACGAAATAGCACACGAGGGAGACGAGGTAAGAAATAAAGTTATTTTGGCAGACACCATTCAGCCAGCCCAAAAGATGGGTTCAATGTTACCAGACCGCCTGGATTTGACCAACTAGATTCAGCAATCAGATGTTTAAACCAAGAAAACAAACAACGAATTCAATCCCGTTCAATCTTGAGTTGGTTGTTAAGCCCAAGTAGTGTGTATATTATATAGTGGATCCTCCCGCTTAAACAGCCCACGGAAAGCATGGTGGAACGTAGGGGATGAAACCGTATAGTTCGGACCACAGAATGGGTGTGTGTAATAATAGGAAGCTGGGATTACTATGCTGAAACATTGTGTTTGACGAACGTTGGAATTTTGCTCATTTCAACTTTAATCCAATATGGATACATGTTAATATCAACGCGGTACTTAAATATTGCCTAGTTGAATTAAACAGGTCATGCTAATCATATTCAGTTTATTGGGTGGTTGAATTTTAGCAATGTCATACTGACCATAGTGGATACATCAATATTAGATACCTTGGTTACCTTCGTGATACTAACCACATTCAAAACACTATCCAATACCGGGTGAACGCCATCGAGGACGTGACCCCTAACAACGTGCTGCTGAGCTTCCGGACGGGCCTTGCCAAGCTCAGTGCCCGGCCAACATGTGGGACTTCACCGTGAAAACCTATGAAAAATGGTGGATTGAACCATCCCATATGCTCCATGTCTGGTATGTTTGCCTACAAATCTGGATGATTTTTAGAGTGAATGTTGGTGAATATTCCATACATGGAGCATTTAACCATGTAGACTGGTGGGTTTAACTATGAAAGAGGAATAACAATAGAAAACAAGACGACATTGTGGCCCGATAAAAGAGCAGGAGGGAGTAGATCAGAAGAGGATAGAAAAAAGAAGATGTGAAGATGCCGGGTAAGGAGTGATGATGGAACGCAATCAATGATGAATGAGGTTGTTGATGCAGAATCTATGCAGAATGATTAATGAGTGTATAATGAGTGATATTGAAGTTACTATATCATGTTTGTATTTGTGTGTCCCCATGGTGTCTATCTAGATAACTGGAAACTGCTGGATATGGCACTATGGAACCAACCTGGCAATGGAAAATCATGGCAAAGACATCGTAATTTCCAGGAATTTCCAGACGATGGTTGAGTCCCTTAAAATCCTATCAAACCCACAATTTTCATCAATTTTCCATATAATAATTAACGTCCATATTTGACCGTTAAATCCCAATTTTTCTCACCAAATCCTTCTCCTTTCGCCCCAAATTTCAAGGCGACTTTGGCTTCACTCGATCTCTAAGCTCCAAGCGTCCTATGACCACCATGTGCACCACGCTGTGACCTGACATCGGAAATTTCACGGCTCTTGAGAGCTGATTTCTTTGGATAAACTTGGGTGTTTCCCTGACATTACTTGGATTTGCGGAAGGCTAGGTATAAACATGTATATGATTGTATATGTACGTAATTATACCCAATACTTATTGACTTATTGGGTATATCTTTGCGATGACATTTGGACTTATCCCTTTGTCATTTACATGTTTTTGATCCCATACAGTCTTATCCCCTCATGTGTATATAATATATATATATATTCGGATTGTATGCTGATGTTTAGTTAAGGGTGATCGTCCGTATAGGAATCAACGATTCAAACCCCGCTACATCCAGGCTGATCTCCACTTTTCAGGTTGATGTTTGCAGTCCGAATATGTTCTACTGGATGGAGTACTCGTATAGCAACATGCTTAGATTGCGCGACATACTGGTATCGTGTTTTTGGGGTTGTTCTAGCTGAATTTGTGATACAATAGAAGTTCTTCCTTTTCTTTTTGCAGGCTATCAATCAACCACGAAGTCCAAGATTATCTCACTGGAACCTGGAGTTTCATGTTCACATCATCACACACTGGGATTATCTAGTATTTTGCTAAAAATGGGACATATACATATATCATTTACTGCTATGGGGTTCAAACACACGTACATAATATCAAAATGATGAAGTGTGAATCTACCGCCATATCATATCTTTCTGGAAAAAAAAAGGCCCAGTGCCCAAGGTTGCAGGCCTTGATCAGCTGGATGTTCCACCATCTGGTGAATCAGTTTACTAGGGGTAACTAGGGCATCCCATGTATAACTGGTGAACAACACACACATACATATCATATATATATATATACTCTCTGGTAAACTAACATAACCATGGAAAATCACCATTTTTATGAGAAAACTCACTATTTATTTCTATGGCAATTTTCAATAGCTATGTGAGTCATTACCGGAGGGTATATACCTGTATAAACGCTGTAACTCGTCGTGGGGAGATCCTCCAAAGAGGGAGATTCCATCAAAAAAAACAATCATTCTATCTATCCAATTCTATCCCATTTCCTTATAGATTATATCCGCATAGAATATAGCTTTTTGCCAACGTCTCAGTGGATTGGTTTAAGGGAAAATCTACAGGAAACTTTGGTTTCCACCAACAATAGGGGTTTCCTGTAGGTTTTCCTTCAAATTTACACCAATCGGATTGTAACTAACCTACTGCAACCTGCACCACCACTTAGTCTTGCTGAAATCCGATGAACGTCTTTAGATCCCCCGGGGCCCAGGTGGTATCGTGCGCCCGAACTCCTCTTCGGTGCGAAGTTCTATGGCACCGCTGTTGACCTTTGGAGCGACGGGCCGGCCTGGACCCTTTTTGTGCCTCCGGAAGAATGTGGGTGACCAGTTTAGACCAGTTTTATTGTGGGATATTATACTAATATTGTGGATGAAACATAACTAATGGCAAATAGTGGCTAATAGTGATTAATTAATCAGTGATTAATACCTGATTAATGGGGGTAAAATCTATATCTGGTTGATGGTTTGGAACATGACTTTTAAAACTTTTATGACTTTCTATATATTGGGCATGTCATCATCCCAACTGACAAATATATATTTTCAGAGGGGTTGAAACCACTAACCAGACTATTGTGGATGAAACATAACTATATAATGGATTATTATTATCACTTTTATTACTATATATAGCTCAGACTTTATGTTTCATTTGTTTTTATTGGATACAACCGTATATTAACAATGAGTACGGTAATCGGATTAACATTAATATTGTGGAACAATATTATTGAACTTATGGATCCTTCCTGTAATGACTTACAGTTGGATACTGACTACCATATTTGATACTAATATTCTGAAGTATAATTTTCCTGTCGCTTGACGACGACAACAACTATTTATGATTGATGGACAATGTCGTCAACCCAATGCCATAAGCCATCCCCAATATAGGAACATAAGATTCCAAACATACAATAGTAGTTTGCTAAGGTATTAACCCAAGGATGAATATTCCAAATAATATGTCCAACTATTCAAAGATATTCCAAACATGTTCCTCGAGAGAAAGCAGATAAATTCAGATACAATGTTCAACATTCCAAGAGTGCCCTCAAAAATACCGGACAATACCCAATAATGGTTCAATGCAAGAGAAACTATTCCAACAATATTTATTCTAACCATATTCCAAGAACACTTCTAGTATCCCAAGAAATTCCAATCAATTCCACGACCACCTTTATTCCAACAATGTTTTTTTTTCTTAGATATGAACAACTGTGTGTATATATATATGTGTGTGTGGCATATGCATGTCTACTAGTATTCCAGTATCCTTTAAACATGTTCCACGACGATGATGTTCCAACATGTCCCATGCAATATATATATATACATATTCAGATATAACATATTCCAATAATACTCCAATACCTATTACTATTCCAATAGAGCTCAGTTATTCCAACAATTTTCCTACCATATTCTATCAATGTTTCAATAATATCATTGTTTCCTGATATTCTACTCAGATTCCAAACATATTCCAAGATGATAGTCATCGAGTCATAGTATGAACAGTAATAGTAGGATTAATATTCAGTCATAATAGTTGTTTGGATAGTTGGCATATGCCAATTGCAATATATTGGGCTAGTCTTTGTTGTGCCAATAATATCACTATATTCCTTTCATTTGCTAACCATTTTCTAAGATTCTATTCACTTTCTTTGGTTGGGTATGGTATGTGAAATCTGTAAAGTATTTTTTGGTATACATATATGATAAATATAGTAAACTATAGTACAGTATAACATAATTTAATAATGATATATGGAAGTAACATAAATTTTCTACAATATGTATGTTATAACATAATACAATTCAATGTATTGTGCTAAAATATTATTTAATGCAATATAATACAAAAGAATAATATGTAACATCATTTAACTTAATATTCGTAATATCATATAATATATTATTTTTGGTATATCAGATTTAACACACTGTAATACAATATCATAATGAATATATGTATAAAACAATAATATATAATTATAATGTACATTATGTAATCTTTACGATATGTAACATATAAACTTTAATAATAAAGGAATTGCAATTAATTTGGGTTCAATTGCAATTAATTTGGGTTTGTTTTTTTGAATGTCCCTTGGGCTTTTGATTCCATGTAATTCTGGGATTTTCATCCATATGTACACCACATGTTCAGAGGTATTGGAGAAGCCCGTCAGCGGTCCATGTGTTTGACAGAAGGGATGCTGTGAGCCCTACGCGTTTCTGAATCTTGTTGTTCTTTGTCAAATTAAATTCATAGAATCTCCGCAGACACAAATGAAGTGACTTTTAAGTGCGCCTAATGAATAATTAGTAATTAGTAGGTCTATTTTCAGGCATATATCACATGCAGGGACTCAGCTTCATTAAATAGGACTGGTATATTGCAGGAATCCTTTCGGATCCGGAAGCGGCGGGCCACCAGCAAACCCCCACAAAAACCACAAACAAAACACAATCAGCGAGGGAAGGTAGTCACATGTGGCCCAAAGTTTTGTCTTTTTGCTTTTCTTTACTGTATTTTCCGCGCGTTTGGGCTCCCAGTGGTTTTGGATCGTGGAGTAATTTTTGAATTGTCACAAGACGCGCAAGACGCCCAATTTCACCGGATTTGTGTGTGATTTAATCGTGTGATTACTTGCCTTTGATAACCCGGTGGTGTTTTTTACATGCGTGACACACCCCGCATGGACATATTCGCTGCATGTTGTGTTCCAGTGTTTGTTAAGTCACTGAAGGAGGCTTTTTTTTCTTGTTCGGTAGGAAAGCAAAATTGCCTGACAAAAAAGATGCATATAACTGTTTCCTCAAAACGTGCCAAATACTTTGCCAGCATGAGTGAGTTGGGCCGTGGTCTCTAGTTTCAGCCAATTGCAGGAAGACACACACAGACACACATTGAACCACGTGGCAGCAAAGTGGCAACAAACCCATATCTGCATTTTGCTTAAAGGACGTATGTGTATATATATATATATATTTATTTATGTCTCATATTTCATATATATATATACATATATTTATATACGCAGACGCAATCATATTATATATATATGTTTGCGTGGTGCCGAAAATTTTCGGACATGACATGAGGTTTCATTTTGCACCAATTTTGTTCAGGGTGTTGAGGACTGTGGTGAACTGTTTTCCCTGCTTTGTACTTTCAAAGAAGTATTGAGCCGATGCTGCCGCGGATTTGAGGATTCTGCACTAGGCTACTTCATGCTATTTATTTGTTTATGCAATAACTCTTGCACGAGAGTGTAGTGTTCTTTGAGCAAAGCAATTTTCACTTCATACACGATTTAGGCACTCAGTTTGAAAAAAAGCCAACCATTTTCAAAGGACACACTTTCCCTAGGAAAGTGCAGCATCACTTTCAAAGAGGGCAGCAGCTCTGTGACAAGAGTGCAGTAAAGCCTAGCTTTCAATGAGTCTTTCAAGATATACAGTATCCACACAGATAAAAAGCATAGTGTTACCTTTCAAGTTCGGTCCTTTGACATACAGCTGTCCTTTCAGAAAAGTCTGTTGCCATATGCAGTACATACTGTTTCAAGACAGTCCAGTTTCTTCCCTTGAGAAGATGCAGCATATTCCATAGATATAATCTTTCAACATATCATGCGCATTGGTAAAAGCGTGTCGCTTGCTTGTAAGAGAGTGCCGCGTCGCTGTGTGCAAAAAAATGTCTAGAAGAGCGCAGCATTTCTGTGAAAAGAACGCGGAATTTCCTTGAACATGATGCAACCTATATTGTTTTAAGTTCCGGGAGTCCTCAAAATGTGCGGCATTCTTCCGAAACGATAAGCATTCCTCCGAAAGCAAGCGCCATCCCTTTACTAAAATCTCTCCCGTAACATATATATATATATATATGTGTATGTAATTATAAATATATACACATACATGTATATGATGTACATATATGCATATCATATCATACCTCATATAATTATATATATATGCGGTTGTTCCATGGATTGTTGAAAAAACACAATATTCCGTTAATAAACAATGTAGTAGCACTTTATGCAATTTTACCCTTGAGAGAGTTCTGGAATACAATACTTCTTTGAAAGAGTATTATTGACTACATGTAGGCATGTTTTTTCAGGAAACTTCTTGGCAAAGAAGTTGAGGAAAGAGGCTTTACAAGATAATGGCTGCAACACTGTTTGTGTGAAAATAAGGGCCACGCCTCTTTGTTTCATTGGCTATTGGGTTTGCACTTTTTGCCCTGAGAAACCCACAGGCAAGTATTGCACTGGGACTGGTTGGGGCATAATCGTTGAATTACCAAAATATTGGAGCGTGATAGACTCATTAAAACACAACTAGTACATAATGCAACAGGTACGGTCCGACTTAGTTGATGAGTTTCCAGCTCATCAAGTACTGCAATCTCATGGGTATCGCATGCACTGACTAGTGTTTATTTCATGCTCATTAACGGGTGGAATCTGTCCATCGTTTGGTGGGGGTTGATACTTTAAGCATTGGGGATTCCAGCGAAATTAAATTGCAATAAATTAAATTGCAATAAACCCAAGTATATAGCAATTCAGAAACATCGATATGGTAGATCTTGGGTTGCAAAAATGTGAACCTGACTTCTACCAAAGTCGTTTGACTTTGGTAGATCTTCCATTGCAAAACCAAATATGGTAGATCTTGACCCTTCAAAATGTGATAGCAAGATCTACCATATTTTGCTGGGATAAGGAACATCTACCAAAGTCAAACGACTTTGGTAGAAGTCAGGTTCACATTTTTGCAACCTGACTTCTACAAAATCATTTTTTTTCAGACCAAAATTGTTGCTATTAATTTGGGTCTGGATTTTCCCACTTTTCTACCAAAGTCGATCGACTTTGGTAGATAATTGGACCCTAATTAATAGCAACAATTTTCCAATCAATTTTCAGGACTTCAATTGGTAAGATTTCTGAAGGGTGTTTGTGGTCACTAAGCCCACCAAACATTGATAACAATCTTGAGGACCATGATTGCCCCATATTGCTCCAATATTGCTTTTGTAGACCCTGATTTTTGGTCGATCCAACCCAACTAGACAAGCTACATAATGGGATGCCTACTGACTGCGCTGCACACAACCTCACAGAATTCTTCTGTGCAGGCCTGTGATACGACTGATCATGTTAGGCAATTTGCAGACCCTTCCGTCATTTGATGATAAAGAATTTCATTACACGCGCTTCCATCCAGAGTTTCACTTGTTTTTGATTTCACGGCATGGGCTCGTATGGACACGTATACGGCTAGCCACTACACGGCTAGGCCCCCAAGACCAAAGTTATGGAGCAAGTCTGTATAAAGGTGAGGTGTGCCCTTCCAAATTGCAATATTTGTTGCCAAAAATGCAGTCAGGAGTGAAACAAATTTTGCACCAACAAAAAACATCGCAGCCAAAGCTACCACTTGCTTGAGAAGGGGTCGCGTTCGCATAAAGTGCATGTCCATGAGGAAGTGCAGTATTCATTGCACGCCCCTTTATCAAAAAATAGTACTTGCTCAAGAAGTGCCGTATCCTTCAAGAATATGTAGTGCTTACATCAGAAAGTACCGCCAACAAGTGGCACGCTGTAGTTCCATACAGCAGTCTTTTTGAGAAGTTGGGTGCCTTCAGAAAACACATTGTTTCTCCAGATCAATGCATCAAAATATGCAGTATTTCAGTAGTTATGCGTTCACATAATTCTATGCATTTGAGCAAATATGGTGTGTCTTTTGCAAGATATTATTCTGTTGAAATTTTGCGCTCTTTTCAAAAATTCAATATCCCCTGCAAAGGAGCAGCCTCAAGATTGAGAGCCTATGTGTACAACGCAGCGTTTCTCCAAAGGGGTATCTGTATCCTTTTCAGAACGTATAGCTCCATAATTATGCGCAGCATTCCTTTAGTGCAGTGCACATACACACATATAAGACAGAAAGAGAAAGAGAGAGAGAGAGAGATATATATATATATACATAATTACATATGTATATATATATACACATGTAGTGTCATAATATATAATTTTGACTTACCCGGGGCAGCATTGCAGGCAAGGCAAAGTTCCGTTCAGATACTGTCAATTCCCTTAAGGTGTTGGACTTGGAGGTTTTCTTTCAAATGTGCTATATTCCTTGGAGGGGAGGTGCTAACCATCAAGGAAAACAGCATTCCTAAATGCATATTTATATGTGGTTCATTCCAATCACATATAAGGGCAAGAATAAAGACAATGTGACTGTTGCATAGTGCAATATCTATACAACTGAATGTTGTGTATAGTGCCCTGTACCTATGCTTAGGTTGTTCCAGGAACCTGGAAAGGTTTTGGACCAATCTTCAATGTCAATCCTGTACTTATGATTTGTTCTAAAGGTGGTCCCGATCTTACACTATGTAGTTCCAGTGGTTTCAACATTGAACATTTCCAAAAGAAACATCGGACAATCTTCACTCAATCCCTTACTTTAAACTTTCTGGGGACTGTCCAGGCTTTTAATTTACTCTTGAGTTTCAGCGGATCAAAGATCGAATATTGCCACGACAAATTTTGAATCCAATTAACTTAAAGTGCTTGACAGCTCTTGAAGAATGTTGATTATACAAGGGATAGAATATTACCAGAAAAATTGGCAGAAATCTTGCAGTAATTAAAAAAACAGAGCACCTTAACATCCATGAGCGGCCTGATATTATGCTACGTAGGGGATTCAATATTTCAATCAAGCTGTCGTGGAATCTTGAATTTTCAGCGTAGCGAGCTTCGATGTGCTTTTAAGCCCCTATACATGGCCGCATGTACGTTAAGCGCATGATTCAAAATCTTACAACTTATGTTGAATTATGTTCTAAGAATATTCTATCTTCAAGCTATTGGAACTTGAAAGTTGGTCATTTCAATCCTCTAAGTATCCAAAAATAAACAACTGCAAATTTGGTTGCATGCACTTTACCTTAGTAAGGCAAACAAATCTGACGCAGAAAGGCCGCCAAGAGAATCGCATACATCTCTGTATGCCAGAAAGGCCGCCAAGAGAATCGCATACATCTCTGTATGCATGTATTATATAAATATATGTTATACCAATAAATATGTATATAGTCTATATGAGACAAGTTGTTTTTGGATGTCCAACACTGACACTGAGGCCCAAGACAAAAAAATATATTATATAATTATTTAATTACATTTACAATTTGTGAGTATCACACTGCAAATGCCAACTATATCTGCACGTGAAAATCAACATCACATATATCAATATATATATATATATGTGATCTACATGGCCCAAGGATGCCCAAGGTACATTCAAAAAACCGGACCCAAATTAATTGCAATTGAACCCAAATTAATTGCAATTCCTTAATATATATATATATATATATATGTATTATTATACCCAAGAAAAAACACTTTCCATAGATAATTGGTTTGGATCTCACAGGAGCTGCGGCTGCGTGATCTCGGAGCTCGTCTTACGTCACCCGCTCTTCCCGGGCCGCCGGGAGTTTGACATGCTGCAGAAGGCGCCGGAGCCCGGGGAGCCCGGTGGAGCCCGGGGAGCCCGGCTCCGGTGGAAAAAAAAACATGGGGAAAATGGTGGAAAATGGTGGATTTCAGGGATTTCTTTGAACAAATTGGGACTTCATGGGCAAAAATGATGGAACATTGACGAAAATAGCGGATTTTTCTGCGGATTTTGTTCAACAAAGAATCAAGAAGGTATTTCATGAGCAAAATCATGGGGTTTGAATAGGTGTTAGACAGAAACAAACGCATATATTCGCGGCAAAAATTCTTCTTGGCAAAAACAACACTGGGATTTCACTCAATTTTTCCCATTCTCACGGACTAGTACCCTGACTGCATCCTGAAAAAGTTGTTGTTAGCGTAGGAGAACATATTCCCTTGACTTCCAAATTGTTCACACTGTTTTCGAGTGCCGCAAGCAAAATCACTGGCCAAAAAGTTGACAGTGTTTGATCATTTTGTTCATTTCTCGATGTGTTTCTTGGAAATCTGGTTTAAGTAGAATATACCACAACCGTCCATTGAGAACTCAGCTAGCCAATTGTAAAACTCCCAATTTCCCACTTCATCAATTCCATATTTGATGTTGATCTCAAGTTACCCCTTACCCTCTGACTATTTAAATGTGCCATTTATATTATCCATTTATAGCTGATTTACGATGAATTACCTATTAAAAATGGTGATTTTCCATCGCAAACCGTCAAATAACCAGAGGTAAATCATATTAAATCACCATTAAATCGCCATTAAAGACCATGAAATCCCCATGAAATCGCCATGAAATCAGGGTAGTATCGCCATGCTTACACCTTTTCCAAGTCAGCTCGGGCCAGGTCATTGAATGCCGTGGCACACCCACCGAGGAGGTCTGGAAGGATGTTTCGTCCTTGCCCAACTTCTTGGACCCTGGGTGATGGGCCAGGGGCCCTGGGGCACCCTGGAAACCTGGGGAAAATGAAGAGATAACATTTTTCTGGTTGACGATATATAGCAATATATAGATATAATGATATAATAATAGTAATAATAATAATAATATGTCTGGTTGGGATTTGGGATGAACATGGTTTTTATTTTTCCATATGTTGGGAATAATCATCCCAATGGACGCACATTTTTCAGAGGGATTGAAACCACCAACCAGTTAGAACATTGGATTTAGGGGGGTTTATACATTTTATCACAATTTATCACATCTTAGTGGGTTTTATTTTTTTTAATACATTTTATAGCACTGGATTTGCTGAGATAGTAGCTGGGGTGAGCTTTCCCCAGTAGGAAGAAACCACGCATCGGGGACTTACGATCAGGTCGTCAACGATTTACGATCCGTTGGATGATCCAAGTGGGGATGCATTTGGGGTTATTTCGCTGGGGGAAGATAGTTCGCTGCCAGATTATGTGAACCATCTGTGAAAAGAAAACGGAAACGCTTGGGGTGCAGTTGGAGTGATACCATGATGGATTCTAAGTTCCTGGGGGCATTAAGTGGCCCCTACCACTGATTATATAATCTAACATTATATATACATCCATATCCACTTATGACTGGAACTGCACCCCCAAGTAAAGCTGATGAATTCACGTGAATGGTTGGAAACCCGCCCAGGTAATCATGGTTACCGTGGCTATGTTCGTTTACCCCAGGGTGAATCATCTTGATTTGAAACCAATGGAACAATTCTTCGTAAATATTCCATCCTGATGGAATCCCATAACAAATGGTTGGATTGGTTGGTTTTCATGTTGATTTGAAGATGTTTGAATGGTGAAATGTCCCTGCCTGAATCATGATGTTTCCCTGGTGGAATGTGATGCGAATATTGACTTCGTATGGGGAAACGGTTGGGTCATGAAACAGTCAAGATTGCAAGCACGAGATTTTCCCATAAAACATGACAAATAGAATATGATGAAGCTTGGTAAATATTGATGAATATTGGTGAATATTAAACCATCATTTGTTGTTGAATATTGATGAATATTGGTGTTTTGACGAATGGATTCCCAAACCATGGTGCAGATCTCCATTATTAGTTGCGGCAAATTTGGACCCGCACTCTTTGGTAGTTGGGTAATCTAAAATGGCAATGGGACATCACTCAATCATAGATTCAAAAAAGTGGAACTGGAGCGTGGGATAGACAGTATTTGAAAACCTGCTGTGAAGTCACTTGGTAGTTAGTTTGGTACTTGTCGAGTTGGTAGTTTCAACTGTTTCCTTCTGTTCATCGCAATTGGGAGGTTTCCTGAAATGGAGGTACCCCAAAATCCTCAATGTTCATAAAGCATCCTCCATTGGAGCCTGCTGTGTACCCAAAGCCTCGATGAAACCTGAGGAATTTACGCCACATCCTCAGGCCTCACCATCTGCGGGCTGGTCACCTCTGTCTTTGGGATGGTTCCCTCATCGCCCCAAAACCGCTCTTGGGGCGTTGCTCGAAAGATGGTGTTTGAATAGGGACCAAGATGATCAGATCACCTTAAAGTATTCTTAAAGTGCCACGTAGGTCGCACAAACTAAGCGTTGCACAGGCTATCGTCTGTGCCCTTAACCTTCGTTGTGATCATGGCAAATTTCATCAAATTTCACTTTTTGAGGGATGTCTCGCGCGAAAGCGTCGTTTTCACATCTTCAACTTTCACTTTTTGAGGGAAGTCTAGCACCAAAGCTTCGTTTTCACGACTTCACCGTGTAGTTTTTTTAAGGATGTTTCGCAGGATTGCGGCATTTTCACGACTGAAGGGAGGTGGGGAGATAAGACTCAAGTTTTTCGACATCCATGTTGTATTTTCGAAACGTTCGCTCCGGGCTGGCCTTTGGATTATAGACGGGGGTAGAGGTTTTGACAGCCCCCTTGCATCAGCAACTTCAATGCCTTACCTTAACGGTGTTCCAGACATGACTCTGCTATTTCCATATCATATACATGAGTGTTTTCGAGAGGTCATACGGTCATACCCCTCAGAAGTACGTCTCTGTGTGATCTTCTTCATATACGGTGCCACGATAGTACCCCCCCTCCCAACCTAAAGGGTCGTACCCGTCAGAAGTATGTTTCTATGTGATACTCTTCCTATATGGTGCCATGATAGTTCCCCCCCCTCCCAACCTAAAGGGTCGTACCCGTCAGAAGTATGTTTCTATGTGAGAGCTTAGGGGCGCAGGTGATCGGTTTTTAGGGGCGCAGATGATGAGTGAACCTTTGGGATTGGGCTTAGGTTACTTAGGTTTTTTTGTTATTGGGTCTATTTTTACTGGTTGGTGGTTTGGAATATTTTTTATTTTCCCATATATTGGGAAGAATCATCCCAACTGACTAATATGTTTCAGGATGGTTAAAACATGTTAAAACCACCAACCAGTTTTGTTATTGGGTATTTTTTTCTATTGGTAACAAAAACCAACGGTTCTAATGGATGTTTGGGATGGTTGCTTACCACGCGTTTCTTTTTTTCATTTCCTGTATGGATCCAAGTGGCATTTCAGGGAGTAGGACTGGGGCATGATTTCAGGGATGAAGTATCTGGCATAAGGACTTTACTGATCCAGCTATGGTCAACCCGAGAGCCATCCAGCTTTTGGATGCAGCGCTGAATGGCATCCATGTTTCGGTGTTTAGCATGTTTGGCATGTATGGTCGCCAGGTGTTTCAACGCCGGGACAAGTGAACTTTGCCAATTTTGAGGCATTGAACAATTGTGAAACGATTATATACTTCCCGGCTTGTTATCCCAAATTCATCCCAAAGTTGCCGCTTAAACACCCTGATTAAGACGGGCCACGGAGTTATATAACTGCTTAGTCATGGCGTTGTAAACCATGCAAAAAATGCAGTTATGTTCAGAGTTACCAACCGAAGCGGCCTTACAAACACGATCGTTTGATTGATTGTTGCATGTTGTTTCTGGAACAAGCATCGTTTTTCTAGGGTTTTTAGATTACCAACCAGGGTCAACCATGGTATTGATGGTCTTGACAGCCCGGCATGATGAATTTACCAACTAACAAACTCGCCAACTAACGAACTACCTAGCACCCAGCTACCACCTACCACACCTATCTGTACTAACCGCAACCATCCGTAACCACTAAGTTTTCACCCATCCCTTTCCGCATCCTGCCATCCCCCCGTTGCCCGCGACACAGACGCCCTGGTCCGACGTCAGCAGCGCCTTCCGCCGCGTCAGCGATACGTATCGCCAGCTGCTGGATGCGCTGCTGGCGCTGGATCCGAAGCAGCGGCCCAAAGCGCAGGAGGCGTTGCGCCTGGAACCCTTGGGGGAACCCTTGGGCCCCAGGGGCCCAGGGATGCTATGGGTACCAACCCCACTGCATTTATATAGAGACTGGGAAAAGCTAATGGGATGTTACTGTAAAGGGACTACGATATATGAAGAATGGGGATATCATGAAAATAAAACCAAACAATAGGGATTAACCGGTGGGATACCGGTGGGATTGGAGCGGAAGGTACGCTCCTGAAAACCAATATTGAAACCTAAATTTGGAGGTTACTTGGAACAATATGTGGGTACCAACCAGGATGACAATTTTAACAACTTGTGCATGGGATTGGGAGGGGAAACCCAGGAAACCATGTGCCCCCAAGCCACTGACAATTTGGTAAAATCCAGTTAGATGATGGGCAAAACATACAACCAGCTTGTAGGTGGTGTCCCCACATATTGTGGTGAACCGGTTGATGGTCTGAAATTTGTAGTGTTTTTGTATATCAATATGTGGTTACGTATCCCTTTTTGTTGTCGGATGAGCTCCAATTTTTGTTGGTTGACTGGTTAAACTACCATCTTTCTGAAGCTCTCCTTGCTGAATGAATTTCATTGGTTAAACTATAGGGTTTACGTGGTAAAGTCACGCAAACTCGCACTTTTGAAGCGAAACTCTGACTTTGAAGATAACCTCTGGTAATTTAACATAGCCATGATCAAACGCCCAATTTATAGATGTTAAACACTGGTCTCATTTTTGATATCCGATAGCTGTGCCAAGTTCCCTGATAGAATTCCGCTCGCAGGCCTTGAAACACAACTTCTTTACCAGCAAAAGTGACAGCTGTGAAGCTCACCAGCTTCCCTTCGTGAAGCTCAACAACTGAAGATCCCGCTGGGGAAAGAATGAAGATTTGTTAGAGGTGAAATGAGGTGAGGATAAAAAATCCTTTAGTGTGTGTGATGATAATGACAATATGTGCACACGTGTGTATTTGCTTGGCTCGCCTTTAGCCTTTGGCTAGACTCTTGGAGATGGCGATGGTGAGAGAGAGAGAGAGAGATGACATATTTAGAGCTTTACATGTGTGTTTGTGTGTGCTGGGTCATTTATTTCTATATGTGCATAGCATAGCTTCTACATTCCCCAAGGCCAAAAAAAAGCCAAGTGACCCCTGAAAGCAATGATGAAATATGAGGTACATGTTGCGCATAAACGGATTGAGGATGCATGCTGGGGACAGTGATTCTTTGACATTTGAAAACGTGTTTATTCAAAATTCTTAGGTTCTGTAGGTTTATTTGTATATATGGCTGGGCCAATGGATTTAATAATGTTAATTGGCGGGAGAGTTGAGTTGTGCACGTTAGTTGGTCCTTGTGCGGCCCCATGGCCCCATGGCATGACTGGGTTTGTGCCATTGTGAGCCATACCGAAGATACCATTGCTGATTGTTTTACACTTGGTTATAAGTTGTACTGCCTGCTTTGTTGGGTGCTTAAGATACGCCAGGGCCCAGGGATACCGATGATACCGATCATCCCTGGGCTGTCGATGATGTCGATGATTGGTGGGGGTACGGTATCATTTTAGTGGCAGATGACAACCCGTTTCTTGGGGGTACACCTGATTTTTAAGCAACCAGGGTTTTCGTTAAATCCGAGGTTGCCAGTATGTACCCTCTGGTAATTTAACATAGCTATGAAAAATCACCATTTGAAATAGGTACTTCATATAGCAAAGTGTTAGATTCCTGGAGGGTAATGGAAGATGGGAACCCTGAGGCCCATGTTCAGGTCAAAGTAGTGAGATCTCTGTGGTGCCATGAAGGAGTCTCAGAAAGAACATGTGGAAAGTGCTTGCTGATTTCATGTCTCCCTGTCGTTCAGCTTAGCCATGGGATGATGATCCCCACTTATCACTGATTCGGCATCCCACACATGGCCAAAAGCCATGGTAAAGATGTACGTCGTACGTCCTCCAAAATGGGTCGCAGATCAAGGATTGTGTTTTCTCCCCTTTGTTTCAAGAAGCATGGGCTTGAAATACCAGACTGATGTATCACTTCTGTCGTATTTGAGGAATGTGGAAATGTCCCGTCGATAGATGCCCCTTGTATCAGAGTGCTGTTGAAGCATGTTAAAATCTTGACTGTAATTTCAAATGAACAAACTTTGAAGCAAATTTCTTGAATAAAATTAGTACAAACCCAGTCAGCTTGTGGTGCTTAGATTGCCTCGGCCCGTGATTTGTTCGCGACGTACCAGGCAAGGAGAAAAGAATCGCAGGGACTGGGAGATCTTATGGCGGGGGATGCCCACGATGATGTGAACCATGGACGAGGCATTTGGATTTGTTGCCTCCTGTTTCGAAATCTCAGTATACCACATAGACAAAACTGGTTGGTGGTTTGGAACAGTTTTTATTTTTCCACATATTGGGAATAATCATCCCAACTGACTAATATTTTTCAGAGGGGTTGAAACCACCAACCAGAAAAAGTATCTTGATGGACCAGACCTGCTGAGGTTGGCTCCATAGATGGACAGACACATTTTTGTCCACCATCGATTTGAGCATCGAATTTAGCCCATTGGTTGCGGGAGATGCACATTATTTTCGAAACAAAACACCTCAGTGAAACAACACGCATTGCTGGTGCAATGTGGCTAGGTGATAGGAAAGTATATAAACACGACTCGAAATCATGCTACATATACCCTTTGTTAATCTAATTTGACGCTGAACAATTAGCCTTTTGAAGGATGCTTTTCCTGTGACACGGCTTGCCGCCAGCTGTGCCAGTTACAGTACTGGAGGAAGATGAAGCCTGAAGGTGTTGCCCGAAAATTGCCCTCGCTGAACGAAGATGAACGCTCCAAAGACAACCATTTCATCATTTCCCTCCAGTAAATTAGCATAGACCGATATAGACCCCGAACATTGTCAATGTTTCGTGGAAACTAATCTTCCAAGCCCTTATTTGGGGTCGAACTGCTGATTTGGTGGAGGGTATCAATTACTCATTTTTCACCAGGAGATGATCTACCCCAAGAAAAATCACCAGACAACACACCCAGGGATGATGAAGGTCGATGACTAAGCAACAATCCCCAACAACGGGCCCCAAATGATGGATCTAAGACCAAGTTAGGGTGAATAGATGTTAGTACATGTGAATACTAATAGTTTTATTGTGTTTTATTTAACCCTCAAGTATACAACCCCCACCCCCCACCCAAAAAAAGTACCCTCTGGTTACAGTATTTAACATAGCCATGGTATAGATGGCCCATAGAAATAGATGATTTTCCCAGCGAACTAAACCTCCATGGCTATATTGGGGATTTTCCATGGCTATGTTAGTCATAACCAGATGGTAACCATTATTAACCATCATTCACCATCATTAACCATATATTAACCATATATTAACCAGATGGTAAGTAAATCTATTGAAAAATCTGGCGGCAGTTCTGGGATCAATCCGCCGGGCGCCAACGAATACCTCGCTCCGTCGGGTGTGTTGCCTCCAACGATTCAACGATGGTGAATTCCGCGGCACCTTGGAACGGGATCACGGAGACATTCGTCAAATTTTCAGCTGGAGGATCATCCCAGGTATCGTATGTGGTGAGGAAAAAAAGCCATGGTTATAACTTGCAACATGTTGTAATCCAATGTAATCCATGTTCTAGATCGTATCAGCATGGATCAGCCATGAACCACGGACTAGTCAGTTTCTAAGGATCCAAGACCATGGTCCCAAATGGTGCCGCTGTTCTGTGGTTGTTTCTGTCATTTTGGGGGAAAGCCACTTACAGGTACCCTTTAGATCTCTTCAGTAATTTAACACTTTTCTATCGTAAATTGCCATTTAGTTCGGTGATTTACTATGTGTTTTAGTTTGGACTCCCCATAGTTATGTTGGTTTAGTGGAGGGTAAGTTTGATGATGATTAATTCATCAAAAAAAACGAAAAGTATAAAGCGAGGCCACAAGCTGGCCTTCAGCCTGACGCTGAACCTTTGGGATGGCAATGGAGAGATAGAAAGCGAGTCTATGTAGATTTCCCTAGGTCAGGATCTTCTTGTCGATGGAATTCCAGCTTTAGCATGTTATAGCTGGATACCTTACCAGATAGTTGTAGAGGTTGCATGATATCCCAGCCTCTGGCCTCTGGGGTAATCGTCCCACTGCACCACAAGTGTTGGGTTGATTCTCACATATGTTGGGTCCTCCGGGCTGCAAGGTATCTCTCCTCTTGGTGATCTTCTCATGTGGCTTGAAGCAGGATGAAACGTCACAAGTGTTTTTGTGAAGGTGTTTGCGAGCTTCTTTAAGCAGAGGAACATCGTGTTTGGTGGGGTTATTCCTGATTCATGGTGCAACCATGGTAATAAGCCCCAAGAGTTAGGATATAACCACTCTAACTATCGTTATAGACATACCGGCTTACAACTGGAACTGCATCCCCCAAGTGGAGCATGTATACACGCATATCGTGTATATATATATAATATACATATATGTATATAGATTCCACTAGGGTTAGTACAGTAACTGAAGAATTAGCTTTTGATTGGACAGTGAAATGGCTTTCATCGGCCATCGGGCTTTATAAAGGTTCCAACTTCAATCTCCAACGCGCAGGTGGTGAGATTGAATCTAGGAATTCCATGAAGGGACAGACACATTCCCAGCTGAAAGGAATGCATAATTAGATATATACTGGTTGGTGGTTTCAAACATGTGGATGATTTTTCCATATATTGGGAATGTCATCATCCCAACTGACGAAGTCATATTTTTCAGAGGGGTAGGTATACCACCAACCGGAAACATTCCCAGCTGAAAGGGAATTTGTGCATCATGGAGCGATCTGTTGGGTCTGGTAGCTCAGGCTGTGGATTGTTCACCCTTGTATCTTGGTTCCGATGGCCCCGCTTTCTGGTGAATGGTGATGAAGATATCATTTACTGTAATATCAGATTTAGTGTGATTTAATATCATGTCATGTGATGTGTCCATGTTGGTTGATAGTATCATCATCTATATAGTCTATAAAGTTGATTAAAAAAAACATATGTGTTTGGTCCATATCATAAGGCTGGGTCATACTGAGTCGAACGAAGACAGCACCTGAGAAGAGATCTTGGGGGAGCTAGGATGAGCTAGGTATGATCAACCGAAGAGGCATCCTTTGTTATAATTTCCCATGATCAATGGCATTCAATGGCTAAATCCTCTTTTGACCATTATCCAATGGTGAATTTCGAATGATTAATGGTTCACTGCTTGGTGGTTTCAAACATGTTTTATTTTCCATATATGGGATAATCCTTCCCACTGACTAATATTTCATCAACCAGTTGGTGAAAACCACCAGTTCATGTTTCCGACAACATTGTCTATTATGTTTCATCATGTTGATGGTCTCTGTAGATCTTCCAGATCGATCGCCAACCAAGCAGCGTCCGAGGCCAAGTTGCTCCCCACTGGTGTGGCCTTTGTGCTCTGTAGCCAGGTTTTTGCTTGGGGAGTGCAGCTTGGCTGGGTGGAGGCTGAGGATTGAAACAGATTGAAACCATCAAAAGAGGTGGATTGACAGCATCAAACATGGACACAAAACATCAACAACAAGCTTATTTGATCCCTCAGAGAGGGCGATGGAGAAAGAGAAACTTATTTGATCATCAAGATGTGTAAAACAAGTGGATTTCGCCTTGAAGCATTGGAACAAACTGGGGATAGAACAGTTGCAACTGGTAAAGCATCGGATTTAACCATAAAAAAGGATTCAACAGTGAACAGTGGTACATGTTTTTGCCCTTACATTCAGGGGATTTAGCCCAAATCGATGGCTATCAAAACTGCGGAAAATGAACAAACGCGAAGTGCTCAATCAGTTTTGTGTGTCCATATTTTTAGACCAGCCCATGCAGTAGCTTTCAGACTTGGGTGAAGGGAAATTTAGAGGACCATTCATATTTGTCTGGTAGCGCAAAATTCCATCGGTTTTCTGTAATGTGTCCTTCAGATCGACCGTTAAGTCTTTCACTTTTTGAACTAAGGGTACCCCTTCAGTACAACTTGGCTATGACTGTGGGCACTAATTGAAGTAGGGCAAACGGGCTTTCCCTACATCTCCGGACACATAAACCTTCCTCTTTATGGTTCAATATATTTTGACATCCCCAATCTTGACACTTTGGTGACTTAATTGGGTGGTGCTGTTTGGATTGCAAAATGAAGTTGAATCACCCAAGTCCGGCAGCACCTTTTTTTTCTTTGCCAAGAATTCAAGTGCAGCACCCAAAAAGATACAAGAGACATGTAAAAGCCATTGATAGATTTTACTTGTCGGAGGTTGCTGCCACTCAGTTGGTGCCCATAATGTCATCCCTTGTTTAATAGACCGCTATTATACGGTGTTTCTGGTTAGGGGAGCTACCGGTGGTGGCCGAACTATTCAAACCCCTGTAGACATCCTGAGCCCCTTCCCCAAAAAAACAATGTTATTGGTGCTTCAAAGCATGACCGCGAATGGACGAAATAAATCAAACCCTTGAGGGCTGACATGGAGACATACAGCAGCAACATTGAAATTCAGGGGGCCCAGGGGAATTTACAGATCATGCACCTGGGGTTTGATTAATGTGTCCATCTACTGTATGGCGCTGGGGAGAGAGAGAGAGAGGGAGGCAGAGATAGACCTCAGATCATAGCCCAGTAGTCTGCGGCTTCTTAACGACTTACAATGCATGGGATGGAGCCCGCAAAAATCCGGGGCTGGCATTATAGGATATAGGAAGTGATATAGGGATCTCCAAATAGAAACAAACATCCAGGATTTTTTAGCGATGTTTTTCCCATAGTTTCAAGCTTTTCAATATTTCTATTTGTTGGTCAGTATCTCACTTAGGCCTACCTTTTGGCTCGGTTAGGCCTTTGTCACAGATATATTTTGCAATAGAAAGATATATCATATCGACATATCCGAACATGATTTCGACAGACTTGCAGAAGTGGATTAAAGATGATCATCGGGACATTCTGATTAAGCCATATACTTACAAATGCATTCTATGCTCACTCACAGGTGGACTAGAGACTCTTTCAGTGTCTCTGCGCACCTTGGGTGGTCGTCTCCTGTACCTCTAGTTGTTCCCACTGTCCCCAGTCCCCAGTTCCCCCCCAAATATCAACCCTAAAGGTGTGTAGCCAATGGACTTCAATATGAGTTGGGTCGTCTCCGATATTTTTATGTCATGTCCTGTACCTCTAGCTGTCCCCACTGTCTCCAGTACCCCCTAAATATAAACCCTAAAGGTTTGAATCCACATCCAAGATTGTCGGCCTAAGTGATCCAAAAAGTCGTCCTAATCGCCAAACGTCCAAGAAAAATAACATGGTCTCATCCAGAGCCATATTTATTGTGTTGCTATACCCAAGTTTCAGAAAAATATCGCTATAGTATTCATTAGTCTGGGTAAAAAGTGAAATCAGCTGCTATTCAATGATATTATATGATTATATGTATATGGGGAGAGAGAGAGATATATATATACATATATATATACATATATATAGTTATATTTATCTATTTATATATATATATATATTACGTATATTCCCTCCAGCAATCAGATGCCTTCGATTGCAGTTCGATGAACATTCCATTAAAACCCTCCATTTAGTTCGAGGATTCCCCAGCTAGCCATGTTTGAACACCTCTTGACAAGAATTCTTACTTATTAGAGTGTTCATTGGTGGATCCCATGGAAGATTCCCCCCACATCTATATGATATATGATAACTTATTAGTATTTTAACTATTTTGATTTCCCATTGTGATTATGAGATATATATATATATATTATAGGGGTCGGCCAGAAATGGAGGTACCCCAATAGCTGGATGGTATTGGAAACTCCTACTCAAATGGATGATGACTGGGGTTTCCGCCATTTCAGGAAACCTCCATCCGCTCAGGAAGATGCAGTTGGAGTCGCAGCACCGGACCCCACTCAGTCCGCTGTTCTCGCAGCTCAAAGGTGTGGCTGCGCGCGTGGCTGGGCGGGGTGAAATGGGCCAAGCAGCGAATTGGTCAGGGGTACTCTCTGGTTATTTAACATAGCCATGGAAAACGGCCCATAGAAATGGAGGGTTTCCCTTTTTTAAAAATGGTGATTTTCCATGGCTATGTTAAATAACCAGATGGTAAGTATTTGTGAATGATGTATTTCTACATGTCATGTGACCATTCAACGGCAGCCGCGTTACGCATAAATTATCATAATTTTATATTTATATTATAATGGAGAGAGAGAGAGAGAGAGAGAGAGAGATAGAGGTGTGTGTGTGTGCGTGCGTGTGATTGAACAGAACATGTTTTGAGGATGCATGCGTAAAATATGCAAGTGTGTATCTATTTGTGTAAAAGATGTGCGCAGAGATGTCGATATATATATACTGGTTGGTGGTTTCAAACATTTTTTATTTTCCATAATATATGGGATAATCTTTCCCAGTGACTAATATTTTTCAGAGGGGTTGAAACCACCAACCAGTATATATATATATATAACCAAGACTTCCGATCGCCGTTCGTCAAACAAGCAATCGACAACGAAAACAGTCGGTTGCGGAGCTGAGCAGTTCGGGGTTTAGATACTTTGACCCTCCAAGACTTCAAGATACTCCAAGTGTTTGCAAAAGGAAAGGTGTTGTTCTAGATCTCAATCCTCGTGCAGATAAGGAGTCAATAGGTGTGTCCAGGAGGATTTTGAGTGATGGTGATCCACATTGACCAAGATTTTTCGGGTTGAAAGCATGGGATGCCCCAATTTCTGGCCATCAAACATAGTGTATTATCATATATAAATGTAAATATGATGACTATGTTTGTGTCCGGAGACTTATCAGCTTGCCTTTCTCTGGGTTAACCTTGGATGGCTTTAATCTCTTCGTTTGCTACGTGAAAATGTGAATAGTTAACAACCAACAAAGAACGCGGTATCAAGGATTGATGAGGGGTACAGATTTTGCGATGGGGACTACTGTGGAAAAAAGAAATTAACTGTTAAACTAGATATTCCACCAAGCAATCATGGTTTCATGGATCTGTTTGAACATGGGGCCTTCCAAAATGACCCGATTGGCCTTCCAACGACGCCTTGGCCAAGTAATCGTTGTTAAGTGAACTATAAGTTACCCTCTGGTTATGTCAAAATAGCTATTGAACACATGGCAGTTTTTCTAGTGAATTTTCCGATTAAAAAAAATAGGTGATTTTCCATGGTTATGTTTGATTACCAGAGGGTAACTGATGTTAGTTGTTTTTCCATTGTTAATCATGGTTGGCATCAGTTAACTTATTAGTTAATGGTTGGAAATCATGGGTTGCCATCAGTTGACTGCATTAGTTTAAACTGATGTTAGTTGTTGTTAACTGATGTTAGTTATTAAATGTTATTAACCAGTTCTAACATCTTAGAATCTAATGTCTAATGATTCATCATCTAATGTTATGACATTAAATGTCAACTGATTAATGATTTCCATTCCTGGCATCGCTTCTTCCAAGGTACCGGGCCGTTAAGGAGAGCCACGGCCTGGGATGTCATGGGATGTCCCTTAAATTGGAGGTACCCCTTTATCGCTGGACGGTTTATTTCATGGAAAAACCCTATTAAAAATGGATGGATTTAAGGTATTTCATTGAAAATGTCGATAAATCATGGATGATTTAGGGGTAGCCCTATTTCAGGAAACCTCCATATATCATGGGACTATAATGTTGGAATATGTTAATATGTTGGAATATATTGGATAATAAGGATATGATTCTATGTGATATAATGTTCAAACACCGGGTGATGATTTCTCGACCAAGCAGAACCCAGGTCCCCCTGGTGAACAGGTTAACTGATGCATTCATGTTCGGTGTGTGGGTGTGGATTGCCGGACAACTAGACAACAAGTACCAAAACTCACAGGTTCAGTTGTTTTATGTCCATAAAGTTTTGGTATACCCTCTGGTAAACGTGTACATAACTATGGAAAATCACCATTTTTCATGGGAAAATTCACTATAAATGGTGATTTTCCATAGTTATGTTCAATTACCAGAGGGTAGACTCCGTCGGCCCTGGTTGAAGGGGACATAGCTACACAAGTTTTCCATATTTTCCAAGTCCTCACAGCTGAGAATCTGGGGAGACTTCGTGGAACATGTTGTAGAAACATGTATAAACATCACATATTAATATAATATTTATATAATAGTAAAAAATGTAATTATTTGTCAACAACTAAGAAACAAACAATAGATAATAAATAAACAAATAAAATCTAAATATGAGTATAACATAGTATAACTATATATACTGTATATACGCATATGGGTTAAACATAGGCTGCTACCCACTTCCTACTTGGGGTGCCGGTTTGGTGGGGGGGGTGAGGATCTCAAGGCTGGTAGAGGCTGAGCGCTAATTTGCTTGATGCAACATCAAGTTACACAAGCTGGTACCCAATAGTTCCTACAGTTAGCAAAGTTATGCCAAGTTGGTGAACAGTTTCAGTTCACTAGTTTAACCCTTGGATGTTTGGTTTTGAAATTACTATACGGATCGATACGGATCGATACGGATACGGGCTAAACAAAAACCGAACTAAGGGGCGCCGGCTTGCACAGGTAGAGTGCTATCTGCCAACCCTTGATTACCCAATGTGGCTTTTGTGCATCAGGGTGGCAGGCTAACAGGTGCAGCAATGGTCTTGGTACCTTCAGAAGTGGGACTTTCCAAGTTGCAAAAGTCATGTTTAAAGTTCTCATATGTTCTCATGATTTGCTACTGGAACATGTTTTTTTTTAGACAGTTGCAGGTCCCAACTTTTGAGACACACATATTTTCCACTGAATTCAATTCCAGTTCGAATGCGTTCAGAAGTCTGACGTGGCAGTAGCCATTGGGTGTGTTTGCCGACTCCCATTGCAGTACTTCGGTGATCTTCGCACTTAGTAAGCGGTCAATGACCCGTTTGTCGACTGTAGTCTGACCATGAATGTTCAGTGTTTTGAGTTGCCTTTTAGCCGGAAGAAACTGGGTCGCACATCCAAGTACAGCAACATACAGCAACCAAAACAACTTGCTAAAATGTGTGTGTGTGTGTGTTTGTGTGATTCTCACGCCTTTTTGGGTTCTGGACTGGGGACCGCTCTATATGTTGGTGTATATATATATATATTTGTTTATTTTATAATTCTATATACATGTACTGCATATCCTTGTGCGTGCAGGCAGGGTCCCTTTTTTCTCCGACATGTTTTACATATTCCAACAGTATTTCATATTCCCAGCATGATTTTAGAGACCAAAGACATCGATGCAAACATTCCCAAATGCTTCCGCGACGGTACAGCTATGTACAGCTGAGACAGCAAATCGCCTACGTGGGCAGCACAAGTCAAGCTTGCATTTTTCTGCCGCGCGACGTGCCAGTCATTGCCAATTGGAACTTATTTTTTCTGAATTGGATGATGTTTCTTTTAATCGAACTGAACCAAATCATCCAAATCCTTATCAATACGTGTTGCTGGTTTAGTGTTAGCCAAGGAAAGCTTTCAGACTGACGGTTGTACGGCACTTTGGGCTTTGACTCTGGCGTGCTTGATGCCGGTCAAACCCATTGAGCGTTTTTCGACTGATGAACTCGATGCATGGCAAAGGGACCCCGCAAGTGTCCCAGTTTGTGCAGCGAGCCGACAGCGGTTCCGGACAGGTCGTCTCACAGTGGCCACATCTTGGGTCACACAGTTGACGCAGACAGTTGACACAAATTTTGTGTGCAATCATCACCACTTTTAAAGGGATCAGGTTACCAAAGAAACGCAGCATAGCGCTTTGATCAGCATAGCGAAGAGACGTTTTTGTGAGATAGGAGTGGGAGCGTAGAGTCAGGAGTCCGGGAGAGGTGTGCAAGTAAAAACAGCAGGGGGGCATCAAAGAGATTGCCATTTGGAGATGGGTCAACATTTTCAGCCAGAGGGAGCCTAGATTTTACTCATAATATTCACGTGCATCCTACTTGTGTCAGCACCCAACTGAATCTTGACTAGCGCATACTAGTCCCGTCACCTAGCTTGATCATGACATCATAATGACGCAAAATGCGCTTCAACATTTATCTATTATGTTGGCAACTAAACCGGGAATACTGCATGTTAATTCGTCTAGAATAATATGGTGCATCAGTGCCCCAATTTCCCCATCAAAAGAATTGCCCGTTTGGACCAATAAGCCTTGATTTTTGCACAAGACCAAATCTAAACCATGTGGCAAATCTATCCTCAAGCGTTCATGTTTGATCCTATGGCCGGGAGCGACACTGCCAGAAACGAAGCGCAGCTTTTCTTCGTGCTCAGAAGCGGAATTCGTACAGATTCCATTTCGCATGGGCCGAGTTTAGTCGGTCTGGCAAGCGGAATTTCATATGTGTTGGCTGCAGGTCTGTCAAGTGACGAGACCCATTTCTCATGGTCCCAGTTAACTGGGGGGGTTGAATCTGGCAAGTTTATTGCTGGTACCCATTTTGAAATGCTAAAGGGATGGTTACTGGATGTTACTGTGTCGGCAATACTGAACATACTGAACGGAAAGGTAAAAAGACATAAAAAGACCACAATTATCCCAAGTTTGGGCTCAAATCATATGTCCAGATCCTTTCCAGATCCAACCCCATCGTGGGCGCACCACTTGCATTTGCAGGGCGTAGCTCAAAAACAGGAGGCGCTTGGTGCCAAAAGTTCGCTGCCGAAACGCTGGGTGCTGGGATGCCATTTTCCCACTGCTTGGCTCATTAATAACAACCTACAAGGTCAGAACCCCCTAGATTGCTAGATTTCTAAGATTTTCTAAGTTGACTTATAACTTGATTAAATATGGTTTATGATGATGGTGGATATAACTGTAGTCAATGGACTTTATAAACCACTTCATAATTGGGGGGGCCTTGCCTTGTACCCTTTGGCAAGAAACATGGCTGGGAAATCCCCGCGCTGTTCTTCTCCTGGGAAAATCATCAAAGTAAATGGGATGACGATCGCCATGCTTGTTTACTAGAGGGTAAATTCCTGTTTGGAAAATTGAGTGCAAGTCCATGAATGAATCAATGAGCTCACCAATTCATTTATGGATTTGTTTTGAGTTTCCAAACAGGATTACTCTCCACTAGTGAAACATGGCAATAGACAATTTCCATCAATTTCCCACTTACTTCGATGGTTTATTTGTTGGATATGCTATTCCCTTTGGGAGCGTTTTGGATAAGACGGGTAAGACAAGGTGGCGAGATAGCTGCAGGAAGTATATTAATACCCATGAAACGAAAGCCTCGATGCAATGAACATGATCCATGAATTGGCAGCGAAACATGTGGGTGTTTCAACTCTATTTAATATATAATATATATATATAATGGAATGGGATATGAATACTGTGGTAAAACCCAATGCTAGTCCCAATCATCTCCAAACTCCGATCATTTGTTAATGGCACCCCCAAAGTTCCCGAAGGAAACCCTTTGCCAGCCATTTTCCTGGGAGTTTTTCAGGGCTGAAGTAAACCAGTAAACCCCGTTACCTCCATGAATTATCTCATAGTTTTGCGAATCTCATGTTTGAGGTTTGCATCCCCTTGTTTTTATTCACACGTACAGTCACATATCATGTTCCTTGCTGGTTCAACGGCCTTCCGTCGGTCAAGTCCCAGAATTGGTCTAAGGGACACAACGGGACATCCTTAGTTGCATTAAAGCTGGGGGTTAACGATGGCTTTTTAGAAAATTTGCCAGGTCTCTCTTGACTTCTTTTGGGCCAAGTGAGCCCGCACCGGCCATTAGTGGACCGCATCAACTCCAAAGTTAACCACTGATGTGTTTGGAAAACAACATTTAAAACACACTTTATTGATGAATCAACAGGTTAACCCACATTGAATATTCATGAATATTCGATGTTGTACAAAACTCAATGGTATAAATCATAGTGAAACAAATATTCCATCCCCTTAAGTCCCATCAAATCCAGTTCGAAACCCCATCAAATCCAGCTTGAAGTCTCGATATAAACAACACCCATTAAATCCCATGATTGGCGAACCCCATGGAAGTCGTAAGAATATCCCACAGATGAGTTTCCCACTTTCAGGACTCTGAGGAGGAAATCATGAAGCTCAGGACGGTGTGTTGCTGCTGACTTCCGGTGGATTGACCAACGATGATTTAACCAAATTAAACATGTCGATTTGTTGGTTGCAGCTGGATTCAGATGGCTTTATTGTAGATATACTGGTTGGTGGTCATTTTTTCTTTTCCACTATATATATATGGGATAATCCTTCCCATTGACTAATATTTTTCAAGATGGTTAAAACCACCAACCAGATATAGATACATCGAAGCAACCTCGAAACTGGCCTTACCCGTCCCAGAAACCCTCCCAGGACCTTTTGGAACCGGATGACACCGACCCCGCCTCGGCTCTTCGGACTGCAGCTGCGTCATTCAGACAAAAAAGTCCCCAAGAATTGACAGAACCTAAATTGCAGGTACCTACCATATATAAGGCCTGTGTAAGGGAATATCCCAACAAAATATGCCCTTTTATGGTACAGTACCCCCATTTTAGCATCCTGAAATTCCCATAGATTTTTTTGTTCATTTAGTTGATGTAGTTCGATGTGTGTTTTACCTATTATTTTACAGTGATGTTCCATATGTATGTTAAATTACCAGAGGGTATGTCCAACAAAGATTACTACAGGTTTGTACCACCCTGTTGCGCTGAGTAAGCCTTGGCTATGCGACGATGCAGTATTCAAATCTTGTCTCAGCATATGCCCGATTGCCTTCGCCGTGGTATTTGATCAAACAGAAACACATTGTCAACTCCAAATGTCCCAGCCGCCAGCCGCCCAGCCTCAAGGCAACACCATCCAGTGGGTGTCAGTAACATCACCTCATATTCCTATGTTTGTTGCTTATTTTGATGTATCAGGCCCAACAAATTGATCCCCAACACTTTTGCCACCTAAAGATAGGAGGCTACTACGAGGCGTGCAAGAATTATTTTCTTCTTCAACTGTTGCGTCCCAGAAGGGGTTTTAATGAACATAATGTTTCCTAATGTTGTTCCTTGCAGTAGCACATGAATAAGTATTTTTCTTGATCATTGATATGTATATAAGACAGTGTGTATATATATATATGTGTGTGTGCGCATTATTTTGTGCATTATACATGATATACGTTGTCATAGTATATGCTTTTTTTGACATGTATATATATATATACATAAATATGTGTGCATTATATCCCCAACGGATGGTGTGAGAAACAAAAAGAGACCATGTTGGTGGAACAGTCCTTTGCTTTGCTGGTCGTCCGGTTCCCCAAAATTAAACAGCAAATACGAAAGGCCGTCGTTCCTGATCTACCATCAAAATCACCATGTACTTTTGATGTACCCACAGTTAAATACCCATTATTATCATTGGTACCTGCAGCATGAAAATCCAAATTTGCCAAAATTATATGATAATTTTGCATTAAAAAATCATCATTTACAGCATATTTTCCCATGAAAATCGAGCATTTCACATCATTGAACCTAAAAATCACCATGAACATCAAAAAAACTAACATCCAAAAAAAATAAAAAATCCCTAACATCCAAAAAAAACCCACATTTGCCGTTGTTTTTTTCATGTTTTTTCCCACATGTTTTGGTCATTTTCCCCCTTGAATCCCACCGAGATTCGGCTGGTGCCTCCGGGGCGCTTGATCCACCTGGCGCGCTACTCCGGCGCACGTCGGGCTTGGTGGGTGCAGCGCAGTCATCCGGTGCCGCAGGGGACGCAGGGGGAAGGTGAAGAAAGGTGAAGATAGGTGAAGAAATGATCTGATTGGTGGTTTGGAACATGGTTCATGATTTTTTTCCATTTCATATATTGGATGTCATCCTTCCCATTGACGAACTCATATTTTTCAAGATGGTTAAAACAAAAACCACCAATTAGATGATGATTTGATTAACCCATTGGTATAATGGAGATTTATTTGATTAACTTATCAGATAAACCAATGGGTATTAGACTGATAAACCAATGGGTATATTATTTGATAATGATTAATGGTGGCTAATAGTGGTTAATAGGGATTAATACCTGAGAACCGAATAATGGATTTTTCCAAAATAATGGAGATTTATCTGATTAACCAGTGGGTATAATATGGTACGGTATGATGATGATCTGATTGGTGGTTTGGAACATGACTTTTATTTTCCCCAATAGTTGGGATGATGATCCAACCTGACTTTCATATTTTTCAGGGGGGGTGAAACCACCAATTAGATGATGATTTGATTGACCAATGCGAATAATGGAGATTGAATTGTTTAGTGTGATATTGTTCAATGCTTTAAAAATGGTTTAGTTGGACCATTGCACCGAAGGTGAACATCTGATATAATGGAAAAATAGTGGTGGAAATAATGGTGGGAATCATGGAATATTGATGGGAGTGGTGCAATACTTAACTTACCATTTGGGGATGGTGTATACTTTATGGTACTATTTGGAATGTCTCATCATTGGGTTTCACATGGTTTAACACATTATATATAATGGGTAATATTGATTTGGAGTTCATGGGGTTTCATGGGGGTATGAGATTTCATTCACCAATGGGTAGAATGTGGTGTACCAGCCATGTCGAATGATGCAGATACAACCAACCAAGTTGATATGATATGTGGGTGTGTCTGAAAATGGTCACGGGATCCAATGAGAATAATAGGGATGACATAGGATATAATAAGGTATACTGTGGCTTGAATGGAATACTATGGGATACAAAGTCAACAGGATGATCTTTGGCTTTGTTATTTAGTATGCCTTTCAAATAGCAATTCCAATAGCGAATATGATGATGAATCATTGGACTTAGGGGTGCCCTAGTTTCAGAGAAAGACACATCCTGATTCAACGTGCACAACTAAATGGTGTCAATTCGTAAGGAACCAACTGTAGGGCAAGACACACACACACAGTTCTTTGTCAACCCCGGTGGAACTAGATCTACGTCTATCGTTGTTGTCAGTATCAGTGGTTTTTGCATAAGTACTACACATATATTATTTATGTAATATTTATACATCATATGGCTTTGTCTGAAATTGGTGTGATTCCAAATGATTTCATGGTGGTTTCAGGGTGAAAGACCACCCGGCTTTCATGGATTTCAACAGTGCCAGGTGCTTCATCGAATCCAAGTGCATCACGGCATCGGCGGCTAGACCCGAGACGTATGACAGAATGTCATGGGATATCTATAGATATTTAGAGTACAAAATGATATGCAATAATAAGGTTTAATAAGTTTTATCAAGGATGATGTTTACCAACAATGTTATGGGAATTGAAGCAGTAGAGAATTGGCCGGGATATTTAGCCATCATAATATCGAAGGTTTCAACAACAAAATACAGGGAATTAACCATGAAAGATAAGGGTGAGCTGGGTAAACTAACCGGTCAAGGAGTCAAGGGTATCTAAGATTGCCCAGCTGGTTGGCTGGTTTGGATTTGATCCACAGACAACCGGGGAATCCTTTCCTATGACTGGGATGCCTTGGATGATCCGGGGTGCTTTACCAAACATGAGGAAACTCGGCCCGCAACGATGATCCTTGACATGTCGATTAGAATCGAATAGGGGGCAACGAATGGCCCTCAAGTCAGACCACGAGTGTTCACCGTTGGGGACAATGAATGGCAATGAATCTTAATGTTCAGATGAATCAGATCATCAGATCATCAGATTCGGAAGATTAACCCAACAGAGCTGGGGAAAATTGGAGAGAAGTTCCAGCTGTCAAGTGCCGACCCATACGCACTTCCAAACCCGTGTTGATGCCCCTACTGCCCCTACTTGAAACAGCCTTTGAGGTTGAACTTGAACAAGATTTTTGGAAAATTCCTTTGCCAAACTTCATGTTGTGTTTTTGTTTTGCCTGTGATTCCATCGGTAGTTCTCCAGGATCTTCATCGATCCAACAGATCCAAAGACCTACGTCGGATGCGACGGCTCCAGGTCAAGACCATTCAGGTGACAGTTACCGCGAGGGCTTGCAGGAGGTGCGGAGCCATGCGGAGCATATCAGGGGATCAAACATAGCTCCAAAAATTTTGGATAAAATGGACAATTTTAGTTCGATCTGTTGGATAAAATGGAGTTTTGGATAAAATGATAAAACATGGGAAATCACCTATTTTGGTTCGATGATTTCCCCACTAAAACCCCACTAAATCCACGGCACTGATTGCCAGAGGCGAATTTCTGTTGATCAACCGTCATTAAATCCCGACAATTTAAGGTCCCCCAAGTTGGTTTATGAACCTGCTTATAGATAGATCATGATATATCCACCATAAACCATAGAATTCATCATAATTGACCTAGTCATGTGGATCCCAACATCTTGCGATTTCGGAACACCGGGGGTGGCCATTGGCCGCCTCAGGCGCTTCTGGCGGCCAATGGCATTTTACCAAAACCTTGGGCACCCGTGGATCAAGCGGCCACCTGCGGCTCAGCTTCAACATGGTTCAACGTGTTTTTTAGTATCCCCGGAGATTATTTTGGGAGGACGCGTTTCTCATTTTAAGATGTACCAGTAGATTAATTAAAATCAAGAAGAATACACACCAGCCATGCAAATATATTAGGGCGTGTTTGAGCAAGAAAGATGTTTTAGAGATGCATAAATGGGTTCGGGTTCAGGCGTGTTCTTTCTTTGTGTCTTGCAATGTCTTGCATTAAAAGAGGAAACAGTCCGGCAAGGTGATGTTTCTTTTTAGCAGGGTTGATGGGGTACTGGAAATATCCACTATGAATGAGGCCTGTAGATCTTCAACAAAAGTGCACTTGATTGAGCTCCAAATCCGAAGAGTATCCCACGAACTTACTGCTGTTACCACGTCGTTAGTGGTTCTGATGCTCGTGTGAATGGAAGGGGCCTATAGGCAACCCAGCGGTTTGCTTTTGTACAGCAGTATGGGTGTATTCATCCAAACTTTAAGTCTCAACCAAGTCTTGGAACAAATGGTAAGTTGTATGTATACATAAATATAATGCATATAATTATCTATACATATTAATGCATATGTTTATGTCTGCAATATCCTTAACATTGTTGGTTATATGACAATATCAGTGTATTTAAGAGGCATGATAGTTGAATGTTTAACGAACTTAGCTATCATAATTCAGCGATATCAAGCAAAAACAGCCATTCATATTACTGGTTGAACTCCTATTTTTGTTGGTTACCCCAGGGTAAACGTGCCATCCATGAATTGTCCCCATGAATTATCACCATTATTGTCCCTATATTAAGCCATATAAATATGGATATAGTGGTAAATATAGGACACACACACACATATATATATAATATACATATATAGATATTCGAAAATTCGAAAACCAAAAAAAAAACTATTACATAATATTATCATGATTATCCCCATTAACCCCATTAACCCCATGATCCCTATTGAGCCATGTAAAAGCACTGTTTTGGGACGTCCATCCCTGGTCCTGTCCCTGGCGCTACGACGAGGCTCCTGCTGCTCCACGGACTTCGTTTGGTCCACCGTGCTGCGCAGCGAGCCACACCGCCTGGCAGCGCGCTGTCGCTGTGCCACGACCGAAACCGCCACCGGTGGTTTAATGATGATTATATGGTGGTTACATGGTGATATATGGTGATTAGAATTGGGATTTTGTTGATTTCATGATGATTTAGTGGGATTTAATGTGAATTTATAGGGATTTAATGATGATTTAACGGGATTAATATGTGGATTTATGAAGATTGATATATAGAGTTTCTAAAAGTATGTTCTTTACTATCGTTAATGATGGTTGGTTGATGCTAACTGTGTCAACCCTGGTTAGATATCAGTGGTGAAATTTGGTAACATGATGTAACATGTACATTCACCAGCCAAAAATTGTTGATTTTTTGGCAGGTATTTAAGATATTTAAGTTTCACCATGCTAACACCCCCCAAATGGTGATTTATAGCCATCTTAATGGGATATAAATGGGGATCTATATCATGGGACTATGGGATGCTAGTAAACCCCCGGTTGTTTGATGCCACCATGGGATTTTACGAAACGCGATTACCTCAGGAATATCACCAGTGGTTTGGGGGCCGCCATGGGGAGCGATGAGGGGAGCGATTCCAAGAGTTACAAAAAACCACACTGTGGTGAAGTGTACCCTTGAATATTTGGGATGCAAATCTTTCATAAGAACTAGCTGTTTTTCTCGAATATGTCATGCTTGCGAGCTTGCGACTTTCAACAAATTTCACTGGTGTGGGAAACCCAATGCCATTGTGCCCCCAGCACTAAAACGACATTTATGGTTTAACACCCCCAGTCATGGTTGGTTGGGATGGTGTTTGGCATTGGGTTTAACACATTGATCCGATCCCAACCATTGTTTCTGGGGAATTGGATTATCAACAAGTATTAACCATTATGAACCGTTGTCAGCCATTATTCGCAATTATTAACCATTAATAACGCCATGAATTAACATTCCTTAACGATTATTAACCCTTAAATGTGAAAGAACCATTAATAACCATAATTGTTAATTTAGCATTTATTAACATTAATGATTGTTTTCATACAAAAAAAACATGTGTCCGGCTGTTTCGCCTCAGCCTTGGAGGTCATTCCTGTGGCGACGTGGTCTGCGATGGATGTTCTCAACGCAAGCTGCCCTTGCCACATGCAGCGCGGCCGAGATGGTCATGGTGAATCCTTCAGAATCGATAAAAAACATTTTGACCCATAGCAAATCACCAATTTGACTGGATAAATCACTATGGTCATCTAAAGACATGATTGTTCAAAGTAGGCTGTCCGACGCGAAATTTATTGGGATTTGAATGGGGAAAGCGAAGTCAAAACGGAGTTGGAATTGTTTTATTTGCTTGCATCATGTCGGCAATTTGCTGATTTATGATGGTTTTAGCCCTCACCACAAGTTTGATTGTTTACGTTCAGGTTGGGGAAGGTTTACAACTTTATATACATATATACATATATATAATATATAATATTATATGTATATGTATGTATTTTTTAGTAATTTGTTGCGTAGGGCGAATTTTATTTGATGATTTTACATGATTTTACTGATTTACCCATTAAACATGGTAATTTTCCATAGCTATGTTAAATTACCAGAGAAGATAATCCTCTTTGGGGAACCCTTTGTGGAATTGTTCCAATCTTGGACATGCATGGGTTCAGCTACAGATTCAAATACCAGGCCTACGGCATGGTCCAGCGTGCTACAGCATGATATCCTTCAGTAAAATGACATGGCAAAATCTCCTTCTGAGGGGGACGCATCTACAAATGGTCACTTTTCCATTGCCAGATTAGGTTGCCTGAGGGCAGCTTAATTTGGCCAGCATTGTTGGCTCCTTGAACTTTCAAGTTTGGTTCATACCGCTCTGCGGATGGGAGGTCTGGCCGTGGCTTCTCACAAGCTGTACCCTCTGGCAATGATGAACAGTTTGTGAACTGGAGAGTTGCCATTTTAAAACACTAAAGATATCTACAAATCGGCCATGTTCCGCAGTCATGTTAGTGTATTGGAGGGCAACGCAACTCATTGTTCCTCTAATATCCTTTAATTTGTTTTTTTTGTAGGCGGCGCATGTTTTCGTTCCCGGTCAGAGCCCATGTCTGATTAATTATCATTAACTTAATCATTGTATTTTTTTGGCCCGCCATCTATGTGCAATGGGGAACATGGCTATTTTTGCCTGGCATGTCGCCACAGTTTGGAGGGAATTCCCACATTGTTGGGTTTAACTCCTCATTAAGGTTGCTTATATCCGTCTCCAAGTTTGCCCTATTTATCCCATTTGATCCGCTGCTAGTTCACTTGCCACTTTTGTTGGTGAAATCTCTGATAGCTCAAAGTAGTTGAAGTCTCCGTATTTGAGGTCGGCATCTTGCGAGAGGTGCGTGTCTGTGACCGATGCTTCTTGAAGCCAAAGACTGTGACGAGATGAAAGGTTGACGGGCCCAACCGTGCGATGCTGAGCTCAAGGGCCCGCTGCTGGTAGGGAAATAATGTTGTTTTTCCTTCACGATGATGATATTTATGTGTGATTGTTTCTGCAGAGTTCATGTTTGGTAGCTGTTAAGGAACATCCACATCCAAGGAATGTAGTTTCTTGATTGTTTGAAATATTTTGTCGCCTTGCATCCTGGAATGAGGAAAAAGCCTGCAGCAAATTTTATCATCCCCAGTCACTGGGCCGGACGCGTAATGTCGAAGATTTGCGGCTCAAAATCACGGATGTGGTAAGGTTGCAGCTAAGATGAGCTCAAAAATGATTGGTAAGAATTCATGTTTACCGTTGTATTAAAAGGCCAACATTATGTAACTCACATGTTTACCAATCGTTGTGGTGTGAATAACGAATATGTTTCTTAATTTGCTATGAACTTGTGCAAAATCGACAACTCTTACAACATCCTCACCAATTCTGATTGGTTTTCATAGAAGCACAAGCAACTGCACAAAGAAACGGAAACAATGTCCACTTGCCCACAAAGATTGGGATGTACCCTGCCTGATGACTATTTTCAATGACACTTTGGCTTGTGTGGACTCTTCAAGTGTGTGCATGTCAGATATGAGCCATAGACCGTAGACCGAGAATTTTGAGCCAAGCACAGCCATACGGCCTCATTTTTTGAGGGGTGTACAAGCAAATGTTTGCACCTCTCTAGTCTTCCCTGGTGTCTCACTTCATGCGTAATAGGCTCGCCCAAGAGTAATCACTAGATGAATGGAGTCCATATCTCAATATCAACATACTGTATATATCAAGCATTTTTTCTAGTCGAATAGATGAGTCATGCGGCCAAACTATAACAAGATGTATAGATGTAATGTGGGTGGGCTAAACTCAATGCCATAAAGCTCCCATTTGGGGATGGAAAAAACGTGATGACGACTGGGGACTTTGAGAGACCAGGGATCCAAGGTCCAGGCTCGAAGTAGCAGACCTAAAAAGGATTTAAAAAGGGGGAATTTGTCTGGAAATATGGAGATTGAAGCGGAGAATACGTATAAGAAATGATTATGAAATGATTATGAAATTATACTTATCGAAGTTATAGAAGGAAGTTTAGAAGTCAAACTTCCGACAATATGGACAGATGAACATGTGCCTAATTTCATCTCGAGTGTGGGCGGAAGAAACCAACCGAAAAAAATAACATGTTTCTCTTTTTGCGGTTCCCCCAAAATGATTATTATATAAGTATTTGTGATTTACAGCATAGAGCCAAAACGCATGACATGTGGGGACTGCGGGCGTCCCTTTGTGAAAAAACAGGGGAAGGTTGGATTTTGGTGTTTTCATGATTGAAATCGCATTTTGTTGTTTTGCAGTGTTTGCGAAACCGGCAGTTTGAATAGTTTAGCCATCCGGCCAAACCTAAAAGTGGGTTGTTCCACTAAAAACTATAAATGAAAAGAGGGAACGCCACCATTTATCCAAATTGTGGTCTTTGACCAATTCAGTACTGTTCTTGGTGATAGTTGAGATAAAATGAAAAGTAGGAACACATCACGAATTCAATTCCCAGTGGGGAGTGGGACCGTCGGACATGTCGCATGGACATTGCAGCCTTTAATTTGTTCACGCGGGAATGACTCGGAACGTGGCAGCACGGTCCCGAACGTGCCCATACGGATATATTCGATGTGGCGCGCAGCAATCTTCAGTGCCATGATCGCACTTTGTGATGGGGACAGTGGTCAAAAAAACAACAATCATTGGCCGTTTTGGCCACCAACCCCAGACAAGAACATGTGCACCTTGCGGAGTTTTGGACGCTCTCAAAGGCCTGAAACTATGGACAATGGACAATGAACTTCATGCAGTGGTAAGACACCCAATGGATAACCCTTCAGTTCATTAATTTGACAAAGGAAAATTGCATATCTACGTTCTCTGTAACTCTGTATGGCTATGGTTTTACCACCAAACATGTTATTTCCCATTGTCAACTTATCGATAAGTGATCAGAAGGTAAGATGGGGAGTCCTTTACTTCCTCGTTTGGTAATTTCAACGCAAATTATGAAAACCGCACTGGGCACAAATATAAAGTGCAAGCATGGCAGACATGACCATGTGACCTTTTCATCTGGTTGCATTCCGCTAAAGCACCTAACTTTTTGAAATATGATGACAAATCTGTGCATTAATTAGCGTTTCTGTGCGCACGGTAGACCATGGTATATCTGATTTGTTTGGAAAAAACACATATCTGTATGACCTGCAGTTTCCTGTGGTCCATCTCGAGGCTTGTTGGTGCCGGCAGCCGCCCAGTGCCTGGGAAATGCGACAAATCCTTGGTTGCGCAAGAACTTGGTGACTTAGATTTTGCGAAAATCGTGCAGAGGGGAGGGCTGCGGAGGTGATTGCAATTTTGCCAGTTTCACGGTGTTTCTGGATGTTTCACGTTATTTTATGTCATTTGTAGCGTTCAAATCCTTCTTGAGTGGTTTTGTTCGAAGAAAAAACTTAGACGAGTCAGTAGGATACGGTTTTTTGGGATAACAACATTATACCAATGGGATAGCTACAAGTCATGTCGCACCAGCCATCAAGTAGCTGGAACTATTCGCTCCCAGGACACCCATGGTCTACGACATTTGTCGCATTCTGTGCTAAACAATTTATTTTTTGGGTTGTTTTTTAAAACCAACACCCAAGAATCTTCCATGATGCCTAAGTTTGAGGGTGACATTCCTCGTTCCTTTGCGCTCAAGCCTATGGTGGTCTGGTTATGGTTTGGACTTGGTTAGCTGTGGCCAGTGATTTGTCGAGGTTTACTGCGTGCCCCCTCCATTGCCATCTTTCCGTCCTGCCTTGGATTTGTCTTGGCTTTTTGCTTGGGTTTTGCTGGGCTCTGTTCTTATTTGGACTGTGTGCTACCCTGTGGACTTACCGGTCTGTCCTTATCCAGCCCTTGTTTGCCCAGGCTCCTCCTGTCTCCCGTCCACGTCTGGCCCGTTACCTGGAATGAACTGCCCTTTGTCCCCTGGTGAGATTCGTGAGCTCACATCAGGAAACTTCAGGATGTCGTTGGTTCTTGTCTGAAGAAGCAGGTCCTCCATATATCGGTTCTCAAGAGTCAAAGCAGAAGAGGGCCCAGGGCCTTTGCCGGCACTGGTTGAAGATCAAGCAAGTTTCGTGAGTTGGAATCAGAGAGAGGCTTTGCAACGAGCCCAAATGGCATACGGAGCTGGATTTTGGGCCGGTGTGTCTTTGGAGACATTCACTGATCAGATCTGCCCCTTTGCCTCCTGCAACTCTCCTTCACGCGTGATTGTCTTGAGAGCGCGTGGCCTTGGTGGATTTGTGCGTTTTGCATCTGAGGAGCACTTTGAAAAGCTCCGGTCTCAGACATACGCTGGTGGATTTTTGGCTCACGGTTTTCAGACAAAGGTTGAGTTAGAGGTTTTTTGCCAAGGTGCGAAGATTGGCTTGCCTGTGTGCTTTGAACCGTGCTGATCAAAGAACGCTTGAAACCTGCATGCAAGGGCGATGCATCCCTACTCGTCCTTACTGTTCTGGCTTTGGCATCGGCATCCAATGAATTCGATGTGTAGTCCATTCCAGTTGACTTTAGACAAGGTGGTTTGCTCCTTGCCGTGCCGTCAGATCCTCTCTCTCTGAGCAAATCCTTACTGAGACCACTAATTTCAGATATTTTCACTTCAGGCACTTAATGAAAATATTAAGTACTTATTCGAGCTTATCATAAAAACTTATTTGACCTTATTTTCACTTATTTTTACTCATTTGTTGAAACACCCAAAGGTTTAGAACCTATAATGTGAAGGATTTCATTTTTGTACACATTTTCAAAAACGATTGAATATCAGACATAAAATTGCGGAAAAAAACGCGTTTTAAGTTTAGATTCAGATATTGTTTCTTTGTCTAGGACAAAGTTTTTGTCGTTTGGCAAGTTTTCTTAGTAGATATTTTCCTTTTCAAGATACTTTCCTGTTCAGGGAACATCCTTTTCAGGAATTATCCTTTTCAGGAAGTATCCTTTTCAGGAAATATCTTTTCCAAGAAATTTTCTTGTCAGAAAATATTTGGCTATTTTGGATTTTTCTTCAAGCAGCCTGCCAAGAAGAGATGATAGCTATAGAGATGATAGCTTTGGATCATAACTTGTATGTTTTCAAAAGGCTTCTGCTGAGGGTTTACAAGGAATCCATTTAAACATGCATCAATTGTTTCCGCAATTGTTTCGGCAATTGTTCAAACGTTTCAACAATTGTTTGTTTCATTGTTCTTTGTTCGGGAATAATGTTGTAATGGTTCTTAAATAAAATAGTTTTATTGTATCATATATTTGGAAGTAAAAAATAACACGAATTTAAAGAAAGAAAAGCCACAAACAAAAACATAAAATTCAAACAAAAAGAAAGTTCAGAAAATTCAGAAAACCCAGAAAATTCAAACAAATCAGAAAACACAAAAATTCAGAAGTTCAGAAAACACAGAGAATTCATAAAATCCAGAAATTTTGGAAATTAAACAAAAATACAAAAAAGAAAACAATTAAGAAACCAAATTGTTTCAAGTAAAGACATCTTCCAAAGAAATCTGAAATGCAAAAAAAACAAATATCATTCCTCTTGAGGAACTATCTTGAACCTAAACTATCTTTGCAGAAATTACCCTTTGCAGGAACTATCCTGTTCTTGAACTATCCTTTTCTCGAACTATCCTTTGCAGGAACTATCCTTTTTTACAACTGTTCCTTGCCAGCAATCATGTTCCTCTCTCACCGTTTGGATCCTGTAAGTTTTGTGCACCTTGTGCTTGCCCCCTTGTGTGAGCCAAAAAGTCACTTTATCATTGCAGTACGATCCAGGATCGCAATGGGGAAAAATACTTGAAAAAAATGAATTGAACTTATTTCCGAATATTTTCAAATATTTTCAGATATTTAAGACTAATATTCAACTATATTTGATTATATCTTCAGTATCATGTAGTAAGTTCAAATACAAAATAAGTGGAACTTAACACAGAATAAATTAAAAAAACAACTTAAACAATTTAAACTTGATACTTATTATCTTCGTTAAGTGCCTGAAGTGAAAATATCTAAAATTAGTGGTCTCAGTAGTGATGGCCAAGGCTGACGACGTGCTTTTCGGTCCGCATTCGATTTTTAGCATTGATCTGATTGAAGAAACTGAGGATCTTACTTCCACTGTTGCATTGGGAATTCAGGCAGAAGTTTTGATGACAACAGACGTGACTGATCAGATCCTGTAGTTTTTTGCCGTGAGTATGACCCGGTCACTGAATCAATAGCAGTCATCCATGGTTTTTCTGTTGAACACCCTCTGAGCATCCCTGAATTCTACATGCTTGCTACAGTTGTGCGTGATTGGCTTGTGAATAGCTCTGATGACCGCACGGGTATTTACACTGCTCAAGAAGACCAGCCTCCCGTGCAAAAGGGCGTTGCTCCAGGGACCTCCTCCCTTCAGGGGAAGAAGCAGACGATGGCCAAGGGTGTCAAATGCCATGATTGCAGATCAGCTCAGCACGCTTGTGGCTCAGATTCAAGTGTTGAACCAGAGGCAAGACAGGTTAGAAAGGTCCAAAGGTTTCTCTGCCACGGATGTTTGTTTTGCTGGGTCTAGAAGCAAGTTGCCTGCTGCCTGCTGTTTCAGCTGGTACCCAGAAACCCGGTGCTTTGCCTCCGAATCTGCATACCAAAGCATAGCCTTGACGGGTCCTCCACCAAAGGTCCGAGCTCCGCTGCCATGCAGGTGCGGGGCCAAAGGAGCCTTACGATGCTGCCGATGAGCCTGCCGGGATAGCGGCAGCCCTGACACAACAGAGCACGGCCATAAAGGCGGCTTTAGTTACTAGCCAATCAGTCAGCAGACGTGTTGTGCGACTTCACAGCGGTGAGGAGTCAGACAGGTACCACCAAAGGCATGGAACAGTGCATACTTTGTGCAACTGATGCAACAGCTCCATCGCCGCCTTTACCCATCTCGCCTTGTCCCTCAGTCGGAGAAGGAGCTCTCAGGCCTTTAGATGCTCAGCTACTTGGCGGAAAATCTTGGAAAGACAAAGCTTGTAGCCTGGATTCTAGGACATGCGGTGGATTCAGCGGCCAGCGGAGACTTCAGGCACACGAAGGAGATCTTGGCGTTGCTCATGGTGGTCGTAGAACAAGCAGTCATAGACAGGGGAGACTGGACTTTAGCGTTCATGCTGACACTACTAGAGGAGCCTCCTCTGCAGATGTTCAGGAAAGGTCGATGAACTTGGTGCATCACTCCCGGCCCTTGGGTCCCCTGGTTCTGCCTCAATGGACGGCGGTATGTCTGTCGTACCTCAAGGACTTGGAAGTTTTGGCAACAAAAAAGTCCGAGACAGCCAAGAAGAACACAAACCGGCCGAAGCACCAGCCAAGGCATCCTAACCAGAAGGCAAAGTTTCGTCGCGAAGGAAACCAAGATTCCCAAAGAAATGCCAGGCCAAAGCGGCCGCGGAAACATAGTTGGAACGTCCTGCATTTTGCCTGAGGTGGGGTGCGAAGCCGCTCCATCTCATGTTCATTTAGGATTTCAAGGTGGAAGTAAGCCCAATCTCTTTTGTTGCAAGCGATGTGGTCAGCCGGTTTCAGTTGGATTTTCCTGCAATGCAGGAGGCATTTGCCTGATTCGGATGCCCACAAAATTAAGAAAGGACCGGCTGTGGACTCTCTTTGTTTTGCCAGATGGTGTTCACTTTTGGTGGTGTCTGTGCTCCGTACAAGACCTAAGTTTTCTGTTTTGCTCTCTGCAACACTGCACCTGCAACGAAGCCTGCATGTTTCGTCTTCGCCGGCTTTTCCCTTGCCTGTGCCTTTTCCGGATATTTTTGCGAGGATGCCTCCAGGTTTTTCAGCTGCCAAACGTGAGAAGATTCACTTCCGACGTGCCTTGCATGTGCAGGTGATGGCTTAGAATTTTTGGTGGAGTGGGAGCTGCTTCATACCTTTGGAGCATCTGGAGAGGGCGCCTTCTATCAGTCAGCAGTGCCTGCTGCGCCGACTCTCTAGCCGCTAGCCTTATTCTGGCGGATGGCCCTTTGAAGAATTTTGTAGTCCTTCGGAGTGGTCGACGGTCTCATCAACTTGTTGCACGTTTGTCTGAGATGTCCGATGGCGCAGTTTACCCTGGACATGATGTGCCATTGGACAATAGCACTTTTCCTGAACTCAAGCCTTGCAAGTTTTTGGATGCTTCACGACTGAAGGTAGTTGGTGAGGGTAGCTTTGGTGCAACAGCCTTTCTTCTCCGGAGTTATGCATGGCTTATTGTTTTCCTGATGTG